TACTCCGTCAACAACCTGGAACAAACTCAATACAATATGGCTTGAAACAAAGTGTATACTATATTTCGACAATATGTATTTCGGGTCCCCGAATGTAATTTTTATTATGTAAGTTAATCTCAGATTATTAAGTACGATAGAAACAATTCTAAAAGCCCAGTTTGAACTGTGCACATTATGGCCATCGCACCTGTATTGAGGGTCTTTGCTCAAACAGAACAGATGCTCCCGTCGGATCAACCAGTTGAGAAAACCAAACGGTGAATCTGTTCAACTTGCTCTACAAGAACCAAATTCGGTATACAATATGTACACGACAGATGGAAACACCAGTGTCGACGAAAGAAGCATACAGAAACAAGCGACATCGCTTAATAATGCTCCAATGTATTAATTTTGTAAGGAAATCAGTTTTATTCAAACCATGTACATAATGAAGAGCGGTGTTACATTATTCCCTCCCTTGTCACAATAAATGAAGGGTGTACTTTATCAACTTTAGTACAGAAATTATGCCTAAATGATCGGCATTCATGGAGTCTGGAGCAGGTTAGCCACATAGACACAGTCTGCAGTTTTTGAGCCTCAGTATCCGACCTGCTTATTGACATATGTTTTCGAATACATGATAGATACATTCTAATTCGGTCAGGCTCTCTGACTTAGTTGATTCATGTCATCGTATCCCAATTGCGTTGATCTATGCTCATGATATTAATAACTGGGTTGTCTGGTCCAGACTCAACTATTTACAGACTGCTGTCATATATAGATCGAATATTGCATTGCAAGCATGTTCATTTTAACTTTTTGACGTTGCGGTAATTGCAACAAGACATATTTATATAATTTATGTACATGTTCTAAAATATGACCGTAGTGCATATGCACATATGCAACTAAGCCTTATGCAAATTCTTCAGCATTGGCCTTAACATTGTTTGAATACTTTCATCAAGTGAAGGTCGTTTTATATTTACCGATAATACATATGTATCTGCCATTAAGTAGGTCGTTGTCACCGCGTTATCGAATACAAACATTGCATGAATGATATGTCAAGGTCACATTACCACATATAACTGTATCAATCGTTCAAGTAAGGCAAATCTCACAATTGAATTTTGAAACGAACGAGTTGTATACATCATTATACCTTATTTATATAGCAGCACAGTTCATTCGTCAACCAACATGACGGGGATACGTTCTGTGCATGGAGCCAAGATTATATATTATGAATTGGTGAGAACCTTTCTCGACATGAGCATTAATAATTGAAATAGGTTAACGTCGTTAGGAGTTTAATGAAGTATGACACCGTGGAGCGAACTTTCACCTGTTACAGTCGGAATGGTAGTCCTGCACCATGACCGTGGAATATATTCATTTTATGAAAAAATAATCTTGAAATGCATACAAAAGCAAGTCTAGCCAGTTCAAGCTAGCTCTATTCCACAAATCAGCATAGGGATTTTTTTTAATGCAATCGGGTCGTCAGATGTGGATTGACTAATAACCTCAATGATCATGAGTTAGACCGTGGTCACCACAACAGTGATCACATAAACATGTTTACCACTGACCACGTCTCCACGAGTAATTTATGGATGGTGAAATATCGATGAGAAGTGTGATAAGTGTATCAGTCTGGAAGGTATGTCCGGGGTCAATTCATACATAAGACAGAGACCGGTGTTCAGTTGTGGAAGTAACTCAAGGCTAAACACACGCACGGTGTGCAAGAGGTCAAATAGGCAACGTCCTTCTTTAAACAGTCAAAATGTTTTCACCCACACAGTCGAATTATGATATTCTGAAATTTGCTACACATGTCAAAAGCTCATATGTTTTTTTTTGTCCAGTTTGGTAAATGGCGTAGGGTTGTTTATTTAATTAGAAGATCGCAGTAATGGGTCAGGGACGACATTTCACCTGCAGAGGAGTAGGTGTCCAAGCAAAGAAACAAGAGACTAGACATAATTTGGCTGTTGTAGGAAGAATGGTAGGTGGAATCGGTAGAATCAGTGACGTGGATAAGCTGTTTCGCTGTTGAAGGTCAGTGAATTCCCAATGCTGTTGACCGGTAAAGACCTAATAGATCCTTAACTTTTTAATAGATAGATAACATAATTTAATAGTCCAATGTCGTTTGTGTAAATCTAAGTACTATCACCAACAGGCCATTCTTGTCGTTAGCATCCGACCTTATCAATGTCGAATGTATGAGTAATGTAGCATAAGTCTGCGCAACATGGCCTCCTGGGAATGTAGCATGTTTATATAATTACTTTGAAAGAAACTACATGTTGCATTATCAATGTGCAATTTTACAGGAATGGGGACGAAGCTTATCAAATAATATCTATTTACGCTATGTATTGTATTGTATTTTACAATGCCATTGTAATTCATGTACAATTCATAACATGTTGTATTATAACACATGGAGGAAGAAAGACTATATATGAAATCGTAGAAGAGCTCAAACTTGTTTTTAAAGCTTTAGCATATGCTATAGGAATGCCTTAAATTTCATTGTAACATTGTCATCATATACTCACACGCAAAAGAAACGCAAGTGGTTTTAAACAAATAGGTAACAAAAATGGAACCATAAATTGATACGAGTTTTAGCATGTAGTGAAGCCTGATGGTGTTATCAATATTTTTGGTTGCATTTTGGAAGCCCTAAGTGAAAACGCGACAAACAAAAACGAATCGCCAAAACGCACCATTTCAATGAATATATGGGTATCATGCACCCATTTCTCGCGAAATAGAAAATGCACGAACTGTCACAAACTGTAGTGGGTATAAAACTGTGGCCGATTCTTGGACCTACCACTCCTTGGTCAACAATGCCACGCCTAACTCAAATTCAGAGGAACCAGGCTATCGGATGTTTGGAAGCTGGAGAGTCTGTCCAAGATATTGCCCGTCATTTCAACGTTAACATAACCACAATTTACCGTCTCCTGCATCTATACAATGCTACACAGACCACAGATGACCTTCCTCGGAGCGGTCGTCCTAGGGTCACCACACCTCGACAAGATCGGCAGATTACCCGACAACACCAGCGACATCCGTTCCTAACTGCAAGTGAAAGTGCTCGACAGACCATAGGAACACATAATCGACACATTAGCCGGGACACTGTGATCCGACGTCTCCGTTCCAACAACCTCAGATGTCGCCGACCAGCACGTCGTCCTGTTCTCCAACCACGGCATCGACAAGCACGACTTCAGTGGGCGCAGGGTCATCACAATTGGCGTCATCGTGAGTGGAGGCGTGTCATCTTCTCTGATGAAAGTCGCTTTTGTGTCTCCCATGCAGACGGAAGAGTCAGAATTTGGCGGCGTCGAGGTGATCGTTTCGCTGACAGAAACGTTGTGGAAAGGGATCCATGGGGTGGACCTAGCGTCATGATATGGGCAGGGATTGGACTTAATGCGAGACTTGGACCAATGTGCTTTCTGAATGTTGGTCAAGGTCGGGGACACGGCGTCACGGCTCAGCGGTATATCGACCAAGTAATCAGACCCCACGTTGTTCCATTTTTTGCACAACATCAACAACACATTTTCCAGCGCTCGTCCCCATGTACCCAGAGCTACCATGGCCTTTCTGCAACAACACAACATCCGTGTTCTACCGTGGCCAGCCCTCAGCCCTGATCTGAACCCCATCGAACACTTGTGGGATGAGGTTCAAAGGCGTCTGCACAATGTGCGCCCAGTCCCTACAACTGCCGATGAACTAAGCACAGCTGCTCTGGATGTGTGCAGGAGGATCCCTAGGGCCTTCACAAATCGTCTGATCCACTCAATGTAAGGAGATGTGTGGCAGTGATCAATGCTAATGGTGGTCACACCAGGTATTGACTGACATTTTGGGTATTGACCCGAAACTGTGTAAGCCCTTAACATTTGAAAAAAACAATTATGTCATCTGCCTTTTAATCCATTAAACTATCTTCAGTCAAATCTTTGTAAATCTTGCCCTATTAGTATTTCTTGTCTTTACTGTTGAAAATAAATAACATGTATACTGTATACTCGACTTGCGTTTCTTTTGCGTGTGAGTATACGTTGGAAATCAAAATGTATTCAAATTAATATCAAGATAGCCCAGAGACTGTTACCGGTAAATAGGCTGCTGCGCTCCCGATCCAAAATTTAGCCTGTTGCTATAGATATCAGCCTTGTACTGTCAGTGTTCAGGTTGCGGACATGTTTCTATGTTGAGACTATTAACGACAATCTCAAGGGAAGAAATAGTATTGATCGTTATTAGGGGTTTAATTAAGCCAATTTGTGAATGTGTGTAGTTGTTTTGACTTGAAGTGAGTACATTCAGACGTCCATATCATTATATGATATCATGTTATAGGTAGGTGCAAGTTGATAGTTCAGCCTTCACGAGCTGTGATATTGTGCGATAGCTACTACAGCAATTCCCGATTACTAGGTGACACAGTTCTCAGACACCACAGTCACACCGATAGATTAGCCTGTAGACCGCGCATCAACAATATCTGATAAAACACATTCGATCGTTCGTTCCTTCCTTCGTTCAACCATGATATGTTCAAGTCAACATTTCAAAATAAATCAGATTCAGTTTGCCTTTCATGTGATTTTTCTCATGTATTGAATTTTTTTCACACAGGTCTTATACGTAGCCCGTTTCATAGCTCGGACAACCCGTAAAGATCCGGGTGGAATAGGCCTTCAGCAACCCATGCTTGCCGTAGAAGGCGAATATGCGTGTCGTAAGAGGCGACTAACGGGATCGGGTGGTCAGACTCCCTGACTTGGTTGATGCATGTCAGCGTATCCCAATTGCGTAGACCGATGCTTATGATGTCAATCACTAGATTGTCTGGTCCAGACTCGATTATTTACAGACCGCTGTCTTATAGCTGGAATATTGCTGAGTGCGGCGTTAAACAACAAACAAACAAACATAGCTCTGATAAAAAAGATCAATACTTTCATAACATATATATTTTAGTCGATTGATGGTATCATATTTAAATGCAATAAGTAAATCTGCTCCCATGAGTACACATCTTTGCAAAGTTGCCTTTAAAAAATACTATGTACTCTCAGGTTCTTTCAAGTAATGAAACAAGACTGGTATATATACACGTAACTTGTTCGTTAATAACAGTTCAGTAACACGAGCGAGTCACTTTGCCTTCATAAATAACACACTGGAAACGGCTATGTTAGTTGCTGCTATATCTATTATAATTTAGCCGTTTGATTAAGTCCCATCCGTCTCTTGGGGGTAAAATTTTCAAGTTGTCGTAGTCAGCATATCCGAACGAACCAGTGCCGAGTCCAGTGAAGCCAATCTGCACAGTGCTTGGTATGGAGGAGACGTTGAACAGCTGTTGACCATTCAATGTCCCGATCACCGTGGAACCCTGAAAAGATTAGTTGCTCACTATGAAACGTTGACATTTCAATATAATTATGTAATTAGGTAATTATGTATCCAATTCTGTCGAATATCATGTTGAACAGAATGAGTAATGATAACAAATGTATGTTGCAACAAGATGAGACATCAATTATAATCCGTTTTTAATGTTCCAGTTTGGTAACAAAATATGTAACATGATCTATTGTAAGATAACAACAATCTTCATTGTTTTGTTGAAGCATTCGACGAATGATTCAGAACTTACATTTGCGAGTTGACATTTGCTTGAAATAGTGATTCTATAGAAACATCAAAATGTGAAACTATCATTGGTCTCCTTGTTTCTTTGTTGTTTTTTCTGTCTCACCTTTACAAGTAAGCCAACATTGTTCCATTTTGTGCCACTGAAAATATTTGTTCTCCCTGATAGCAGTGTCTGATTCCTCTCTGAAACGGAAGTTTGAAATGTATTTCTCTAACAAATTATTCTATTAGAAGGTATTCTTCGGCAAAAGATATGTAGCCAACACTCGCTATCCCTGACCGAATACTCCCACATGCATTGGTGTAAACCCAACTGTATATCCCAACTATACCGTCATAGATGTACCCTCTAAATTTCTGACTGTAAGTTCCCTTGCTCCTGTGGCCATATGGATTTTTAATTTTGTTTCATCAATCAAATCGTTTTAAGAGGTTCATCTTGACGCAGGATCAGCCCTAACATTTCCAGGGAGTCACCTACCAAGGTTTGTTGTCACTTGATATGTTCCTGCTCCAGGGTTGATGAAGAAGAAGACACCAAGACTGTCTGGCAAACTACACCCTCCTACACTGATCCTGGTTCCAAGAAAAGCTTCTTTCGCCGCGCTCTGGGACAGGTCGTTATCTATGCCTATGTCAGCCTCGATGTAAATGTCGCTCCTACAAACAAACAAAATATAGACCTTATGGGCAAGTGAAATATAAAACGTGAGCGCCAGGGAATACCATTCTCAAGTGTCCAACGAAACTGACTCCTTAAGGCGTAAATGGCAAAATGGCGGTATAAGTTGAATGAATGGGTCACACAAATCAGTGATGACATCGGGTGTTCGCGAAAAGGATAAGAATGTCCTGCCCTGCAAAAGCACCTGCCACTCGCGTTATTTCACAAATGAAGTACGTGTTTGTTTGTTGCCTGACACCGCACTGAAGTACCCCTGCCATGCGACGGCGGCAATAAAGAAACCAGATAATCAAGTGATGAAATATATCAAATAGTTCACATAGATTGCACTGAAGCTATCCTCCCCTTGAAAAATATATTAATACTGTACTTAAAGCACCACACTGTTTCATTTTGTAAATTTGCCATCAGTATATATTCTACAACTTTCTTTCTCATTATTAATGCAGCTAAAGGTGAGGTGAAATGGGGTTTAACGTCGCGTCCAAGATTATTGCACTTATATAGCGACGTGCATGTACGTGTGTGTGTTTGTGTGGCTGCTTGTACTAGTCCGGACTGATGCCGATTTATAGTGCTAGCTCACTGAGATACAATGCCGCAGTTTAACATGAATACCCCACTCAGACACAGTATACTGACTCCGAGCCGACCAGTCCTTGTTTTAGTCCCTTAATGCCGAGCGCCAGACAGGGTAACAACAAGTACCATCTTTTAACGTCTTTTGGTATGACGCGGTCGGGGATCGAACCCCGGACCTTCCGCTCTCCGGGCGGACGCTCTACAACTAGACCACGGAGCTAATGCAGCTAAAGGTGGATTAGGTATGACATGGAAAGCAAAATTAACACATATAGTTCATCTAAACTTAACGTTATTCCTCAATGTCTTGACATAGTGCTATATCTGTTCATTCCCAATTTCTCAAATTATGCTTCTAGGTTTGTCAGCACACTACCCGTACTTGTTGGTTTCACCAAAGTGTAAACGTCTGAGACCTGCATCAGCTGTTTCTTCTCACATAATGCCGACACGCCTTGATATAAGCGGTGTTAACACCAACTCACTCACTCGTTTCCAAATTCAATTTGATTCTTCAAAGGAGCAGATATAAAGATTGCATGATAGCACATAACAAATAAAACACGTGTCATGACTCACCAATGATAGTTACCAAATACGGCTGCGGATAACCCTAAATCCTCTGCATGACACCACACCCACTTGACCGGATGTTGTACGGTCATCTGCCTGATCACCTTGCCATGGTCGCCTTGCCCACTGACCACTTCATAGGTTCCGGTCTGCTGGGCTATCATGAAGGGTTCTTGGAAATCCTCGTAACCTAGTCAAAGACATTCTCGTCAATAATATTACATCAAAATTCAGTCATCATATGAAGATGTCCGTTGACATTGACACTCACTTTCAAAATCATCAGTGTAGGGCAACGGAAAGGGTTTAGCTGGAGGAGGCGCAGCCGGAAATGACCCTTTATGACCTGTGTTCAAGGTCGTGAACGTGTACACCTGATCTGGTTGGAGGTCTAGATTAAGTACTCCGTCAACAACCTGGAACAAACTCAAAACAATATGGATTGAAATGAAGAGTATACGATTTTCGACAATATGGTATATAAAACATAGAAATGTGTCTGTGTTTAACAGGATTTGGAAATAAGTATTTTGGGTCTCCGAATGTAATTTTATGATGTACATTAATCTCAGGTTTACAATAGATAACAATACCCCCTCCCCACCACTACCCCTCGTGTGTATTCCACGTTAATTGCAAAACCAATTACAAAATGGCCTTCGCACCTGTAGTGGGGGTCTTTGCTCAAACAGAACAGATGCTCCCGTCGGATCAGTCAGTTGAGAAAACCAAACGTTGAATCTGGTCACGTTGCGCTACAAGAAACATAGTCGTGTTTGATATTTACATGATAACCACGTGTGACAACAAAGGAACAAAAATCAAACATCCATTTTGAAGAATAATACCCCAATTTCTTTTAACATTAGTAACTTTTTTTATCGAAATCACCTTTATTAATATCATGTACATAAGCAAGAGCGTTGTTTCGTGTACACCTCCTTCTTGTCACAATGAATAAAATATGCAATCAACTAGTTTTAGTTAAAAAAACTTCCTCGCCAAACATGGAGACTTGAGGAGGTGAGCTACAAAGCCTTAGTATCTGACCGGCTAATTGAAACACTTCTAAACCGAGGACTACGTAAGCAATATATCCTTATATGACATAGTGTGATTAAAAAATGTGGCACAACTATTAATAATGTTAACACTTACCAATGTTCCTTTCAACTGCAGGGTGACATTTTGAGGCTTCACCACTGATTCCAGCCCTGTGTAGTTTTGTTGCTGTAGAGGACAAATGTCACATGTTATATGCAAAGAGGTAAAACGATTTTTAGGTGTCTCTTATTTCTAATCTTTAAGTTTGACATACATCGTGACAACACTTTTAGTTCACGTGCTTGCTTCACGTATGATCATTAAAACAGTGTGTATCTGCCATGCGAAACGTGTACATATGCTACTAATATTAGTTAGAGTAGGGATTATTTGTTAGCGCTGTGTCAGTGTACTTACCACAGTCTCCAGAATGATGGTGAAGTCCTCCCCATCAGGGCTGACAAGGGACACGAATGTCCCCCCTCCGGCCAGCCTGCCCACCCCTGCACCGTGTCTCAAGTACTGCCAGCCAGGTTCGGTGAACTGAGCAGTGTGGGCTGTAACGGCATACAGAGACAGTTATCAAAGGACGTTCTTTGTACTCTTTCAATCCAAAAGCCTATGTGCAAATGTTTTCAAACATATCTGGATCTCTATGGTTTTCATAATCTCGTTAAGTACTTATATAATATATACATCATTATTGTTTGTATACGAAAATTCATTTTACCTGCTAGCCAGACATACTGGGGAATTTCATAGTACCCCGACCACGGTTGCTCAGCATTTAGAAGGCCTGAGCCTATCCAGGGGAGTCCTGGATACCATGCGCTGATAATCGCCCATATGACGGTTCTGAAAGTTGTGGCAGTTGAGCAATATTATTCATTTTAATCAACGAATACAGTCAATCATGGGATAAAATATTCGGAAAGTATGATGTATTTAATTTGACAAGCTGAGAGTTCATAATCTTTTGTTCATGTTTGTATGCGTTTACTTTGTTGTTTTAGTGTTTATAACTAATAGTTTAATGATATGTCTTTATTGACGATGGAGGGATAGTACACATTATGAAAACAACACGGATTTAAAATGACGATGATTGATTTTCAGAATTCAGGATTTTTCATAATACATTTATGAGCGATGGATCTATAAACAAGAAATGAAAGATATAATCTCTAATTTTAAAGTAAGACTTTGAAAAGTCTCGAAACATAGTAAATATGGTCTTCAATACATACATACCCATCAGACAAACATGACCATTTATTTCATAATGTTCTTCCACTGAGAGGCTGTGGTGAGTTAACAATAATTAGACAGCTGGTCTAGTTGATGGGCTTACTTGCTGTTATGTTATGAAAGAACTTACCCTGACATATATCCATTGACATAATTTCTGTTCCATCGCTGTAATAGATGAGAGTAAATGCATTCAGGTTCTATTCGCCATATTAACTTCCCAGTGTAAGCAGTATGTGTATTTAATTAAGGGTGACCCGATGGTCGATAGCATGAGCAATGTTGTGGGTAATCAGACAGGCCACACATTGTTGCCCCCTTGTAGACATAACAGCATAAGTACACTTGGTATATATTCAGTCCTGGAAAACTACAGTTGTTTGGTTGTCCAATGTAAGCATTCCAGATGAACAGCATGGCGACACAGTGCCATGAGAAGGCTTCATCCAAATGACAAACATCAACACGGGAAATTGTTAACTGTATCACCGTTCAAAGGCTACATTGATAAATGACAGCAATAATCAACACTAATTAAAAGCGACTACGACTGATCAATAGTGACACTGGTCAGTGGAAATACCTATCAATAATAACATTTGGTATCAACGTGACACCAGTCAGTGGTGACACTTATAAAAACGAACGCTGATCAATTGTAACACTAAAATGGTTAAACTGGTTAATGGTGAAACACGCCAATATGGTTGAACCGATCAATGGTGAAACTAATCAATAGTGACAACGGTCAATGGTGCAATGGTGACATGGTTGTTGTTTGTTTTGCGTTATTAACGCCGCACTCCGCAATATTTTAGCCCAATCATAAGCATGGATCTAGGCAGCTGGGTTACGAAGACATGCAATGAACCAAGTCACCAAGTCTGACCAACGATCCATTCAGTCGCCTCTTACGACAAACATAGGTTGTTGGGGACTCACCCGGAGTCCTCACGGGTCGCATATAGAAATACTCCATACACACGTAGAAGGTACACTACCATGTTTGATTTTACGGCATGATCTTCTGAAGCCCACAGTTGCTTCCCAGTATCAACAGCATACAGAGAGCTGTTTTCTTCGGGGTAGTGAACCCTGAAACACAAATTCCAAATATATCGGCATGATGCATTCTTTAGCATCTGTAAAGTATTTTAGAAATGGTTTTGCTACTAAAACTGTTTTGTCAAATGAGGGAGGCCAGAATTAACGACCTGCAATAAAGGTAGAAGATGCCAGAGGCTGAGAACCATGTACATGCTGAACAGGTATACCACATTCTACACAACAGGCTCCTTCTGATGTAACACATGTGACCACGGCCGCCAATCATCTGAATCTCCCCACCAAGTATATCCTTGTCAATTGATTACAGTAACGTCTTTACGCATGTAAAGTGATGAGTTTTAGCAATATCCCTTTGATATTTCACTATCGGTCAAATTTCTAAATAATTGTAAGTCAACCATATAGCATCACCCAGGACCGAGTCATCTGGTATGTCTCCATCACAGTATGTGTCAGTTATTATTCAAATGTAGGTACCCAATAGCGTATATAGCATCGGCAACATGTTGGTCCGGGATAGCTAATATGTATCTGTCACAGCCCATAATAGTTATTATTCAAATGTAGTTACCCGATAGCGTATATAGCATCAGCTACATGTAGGTCCGGGATAGCTAATAAGTATCTGTCACAGCCCATAATAGTTATTATTCAATATGTAGTTACCCAATAGCGTATATAGCATCAGCTACATGTAGGTCCGGGATAGCTAATAAGTATCTGTCACAGCCCATAATAGTTATTATTCAATATGTAGTTACCCGATAGCGTATATAGCATCAGCCAGGACCGGGTCGGCCAGGACATCACCGGCAATGTTATCCCAGTGGAAATAGTCCGCTGCCACTATCCTGGTGAAGCTGCATCCGTGTGTGTCCAGCATCTTCCTCAGGGCCTGACCAGAATAGGTTACATCGTGTGAACTATAGGCACATGACACTAAAAGTACTTTTACAACTTAATCAATTGCCACATGTACACCATAATGCATAGAAGCTTACAAAAGGGTAGCCAAGCGGTTGAAGCGTCGTCGCTCGTCACGCTGAAGGCCCGGTTTCGATTCCCCACATGGGTACGATGTGTGAAGCCCATTTCTGGTGCCCCCTTCAATCAAGACGATTTCACGAGGAACAGTACCGTCCGTATTCACAGTGTTTCAGTGTATTCGTGAAAACGCCACTTCGACACATGTACAGTAGCTGTTCACATTAGTGAGTTTATTCGACTGCTTCGATACCAGCATTACTTTCCTTTTTCACCCCAAGCTGTAGCATCATTTGTGAATCAGTTGTATAGGATTACTACAGGATTCGACTGCTTAGATACCAGCATAAATTTCCTGCAGAATCATGTTTACAAATGGAACCTGGTACAGTCGTCTGCAGCAGGCGAACATACATAAACAACTGGCCCACGAGCAAACCGTCCATCCCTGTCACTGTTATGTACTGCGGATCCGTGAGTTCGGAGTTCAGCTGGTGAGGTTGGTTATGTATTTGTGAGTAAGTGAGTTGGGTTTAACGCCGCTCTTAACAATATTCCAGTTATATCGCGTCGTGTCAGCTTAATGTGGGAGGAAAGCCCGAAGTGACGCAGGTCTTAGATGTTTACCACTTCGGTGAAACCCACGAGCACGGGTATCGTGCTGACAAACCTAGAAACATAATCGGGGCGTGCCGCAGGGACCCAACTTTGCACAGCGAATCGCGGCGCCTTAGACGACTGGGCCACCCGTGCCCCCTAGTTATGTATTAAATGTAAACTGCACTACATCTTCGATGGTGTATGTTACATAGATATATAACTTCTATTACGCATATATGGACAGTAACTGTACCTTTATGTAGGTTGTGTTATATGGACTCTCGTTCCATATCTGAAAAGAAAACTAAAACATCAGAAAACTCTCTAATATTCAAGATTTCATTAAAAGCCCTCAAAAAGTAATATAAGACTGCTAACTACCTACACTGCATTATCGTACTTATCGTCCTCTTAGCATGTTTCTTAGCCTTGAGTTTTTGTTATAAGGCATATGTAGGTGTAGGTCTCACCCAATTTGTCAGAAACTCTATTTTTCAGATACCTTTAAATCACAAATGTCATTGTTGAGTTCTGCCTCTATCCAACGTTTGTTACCCAAATGGTAAAATAGATTAGTCTTACCTCGGTTTGTCAGACACGCCATGAGAATATAAGATTGTGTTTCATATGCTTTAATAGCCACATAAACAATTCAACAAGGTGTGATGTAATGTATTACTATATCCAAGTACATCATTTAGGACTTTGGAACCGATCACTAAGAGTCAACCAAATTTCTGTGAACACATAATCGGGTCATTCAACAGAAAATAGTATAATGTTGTCCCTGACTAAAACATGCAATCCGTGTAGCAGTTGGTTTATTCCTAAATGTTTAGATTCGTAAGTAATAGATCAAGATTCGCATTTGACAAAAGTCACCTGCCCCAACATAGTCAATGGTGAGATTGTAGTGGGTCTTTGCTCCAATGACCCACTTGACAATGTACATGGCAGTCTGTTCAGGGTTGGCGTACACGTCCCCCGTGTCCCCTCCCACCCAGCCAGGCCACCCCCAGGGCAGGCCATAGAGCTTGATGTTGGGGTTCCTCTGTGATGGAGAAGTGTATATATATGTATCTATAAATATAATTGTTAAACAATATTTAAATGAACCAGTATTTAAATGCAGTGTTTATGTTGTGTATAGAGTGCATTGATAGTTTATGCTTAATTAAGTTTAAAAATGAAAAACAGTTATAATTATGTCTCATTTTTATGACACCAAACATGTTATCTTGGATTATATTTCATTTTTAATTTACCATTTCATGAATTGATTATATGATTTTCATTTGATTAAAAGCAATCAAACCTTCTTTGCTTCTTGCATCAGCCACCATTCATAACCCCTCTGGTAATTCTCATCGTCAGGTGTTCGCATATGAGTAGATTCAGAGCCATCTGTTGCATGTTGTCAAAAGAATTGAACCAAATTATGTTCAAACGTCCTGACTGTCATGTTAAAAGTGAAATATATATCGAGTGATCCTAACAAAAATATTGAGTCAACAATTACTGTAGAAACATCATAAATGTCTTGTTGCGGTTGAATGATAAACATAGATTTATCCGCAGTTAGATAATGCACATATTATGCCAAGGTTGTATGAGGACCATGTTTTCCACAAAGTCACAAATGTGACAATCATATCTGAAGTTTGTGTGTGTATTTGTATGATCGGTTGTGTGTCATACTTCATGCACATGTAAGGAGATCATGACTACACAATGTTCACCCTTAATGCGACGATACCTTCTCGGAAGATGCACCTGTGTCTTGTATTTGCACTTACCTGTACTCTGTGTGTCTCCGCCAATTTCAACCTTCAGAATGTGCAGCGACGCTCCGAAATTAGGCTGAAGAACACCATATGTCATCACGTTTGAAAAGTTTTCTATATATATGTTTTTGACAAAGTAATCCCGACGATGTAAAGACAAGTGAATTTGGTTCAACCCCCCTTTCAACAAGACACATGAATATGATAACATCAAATACTATGTCGGCGCTAAACTTACATAAACGTCCAATAAATGCATTAAAAAAGTTAAAACATTCTACCTTAAAATCAATAACAAAAAAACACTTACTTTGAATACATAGTCGAGGATTTCATTTCTTTGTTTCTCTGGGTAATTAACTAGAAGTTTAGATGTGGCCTGCAAAGAAAACAGTCGAATTCGTACACAAATAAGTATACAAGTATGTATTCAACTTCAAAACATCTTTTACAATAAGATCAGCCTTAGTTGGGTGTAGATTTAATTAAGTAAATATTTAGAAAATTGCTAAAATGATCATGGCAGTCTCACATGTATGCCACCATCTATATTAAAGGTATCAACTGTAATCAAATGACAACTAAAAACAAATATGAAAATGTATACCTGAATATTTACAGAATTTCATACACATGCATGTTTCAATCATTGTCAAGGAACTAAAATATGAATTTTAGCATTCGACTAAATGAACAGAATAGATTCTTACTCACATTTTAACGATTTATGGAACATTATCATTGAGGGAAATGCATATTCAAAAAGTGCAGAATCAGAGCCTTCATACATTAACTACATATAACAGGACTTACTCCCCCGCCGCTGATTCCTCCAATACCATCAAAAAGCCTGCCTAGTCCATTTGTATCGTCCAGATAGTACAGGTCCCTCTCAGACAAGGCAGGGGAAATACACGCAAGGATGACAAATGTATGTAGCAGCATTGTTGAACATGAACTGATGGCTTCAGAGATCAAACCTTCTTTATAAATACCTCACAATATCTGAGCAACCTATTTATCAATCTTCATTATCAATGTACGTAAGATCACAAGACGTGGTCAGGTAGTATTGATAATGTTGGGTTGCTGTGCGGACGCCTCTGTCTACTCTCCGGTTTGATGGTGCAACAACCATAACATTGACACAATACAAATGAGACCATTCAATATCTGTGCGGCCTATTTATCAATCTAGGTAAGAAAATCACAAGACGTTGTCAGCTGATACTGATCATGTTAGGTTGCTGTGCAGACGCCCCTATCTGCTCTCCGGGTTCATGGACCACAGATGACAAGGAGAACAAAACAGAGGCATTTCGCTCTGTATACTGTCCTACCTTCCTGATTTCATGCTGCACACTGATTATGTCCCTTCGTTTTAAGGAAGTCATAGTAGTGGTTCACGTCTACATGAGTCACTTGTGCTCCTCCCATCTTTAGCAGTCATGTCGGGATATACCTGAACTATTGTTCAAAACAAGGTCTCTCCATCTCTTATCCAACTAAACCGTATCCTCATTGTTACTTAGACTTAACATTGTGGGAACACTTTCACCACGCGAACTCGTTTCATATTTACACATAGTACTTCTTTATCTGTCTTATCAACAACCCCCACAGAAGGTCGTTGTCACGTTTATCACATACACACACTGCATGAATGATAGGCCAAGGACACACTGACACACACATATTTTCATCAATGCTATGTCAAAGGCCAAATCTCACAACCGAAATAGCATAATGAGATTAGCTTACTGAAATACATTTAGATTTAACCGCCATAAATTGAATTCTGAGCCCAACATGCATAGGTTATGTACATCATCATACTTTACTCATATAGCAGGGCAACTACGTTGTCATTCAACATGACCTGGAAATAAACAACCTGGAAAGGTTTAGTTTTACACCGCATAATGACATCTTCACTATAATGACATCTCCGCGCTCATTGGATGCAAAACATATGATGCCTCGGCAATGGAAAAGCGCCAAATTTCAAACTTTCTGTAGACCCTAAAACTACATACAGACGCTCTTGGTTGATTTCTAATATTTTTCTGCCCCAAACTGTATTGCCACATATACTTTACCACACAGTCGTATAGTAACCGGGGCTCGGCAACTTGTAACCTATAATTTTCAATATCTGTATTTCAAAATGCCTACCAACAATTATAGAAAAGACATTTTTCTATCAATGTATGCTTACGCTGTAATACTGTTGTCAAAACCAGCTGTTTCAATCAGAGGTGGTTATTGTGAAACCTCTGAATGATCAATTCAGTGTGCAGATTTGCGCTCCTTTCATTTGGCTGCCGTGGGTTTGAATCTTAAATTCGTATTATTTTTAGTTTACCATTCCCATGCTCGTTAGTTCCAACAAATGGTAAACAACATGCGATGCTTTAGGTTTTCCTCCCAAATTATAAGAAGGAGACCCCACCCACTCACCACTCCAGAAGTACGATTTGTGCACACAGCAATGATAACAAATTAGGAATTGTTTAGCATATAGACTTGAAATGGGTTAACGTTTTTGGATTCTAAATGAAATGTGTTTACGTGGAGTAAAGTTTCTCGTGACAAATGAATTCAAGCAGGTTTATACTCTCATGTAACCTCGGTTTAGTTTGTTGCTTCTTTGGATCCTGAATTCCATGGTGAACAATCAGTGTGATCAGTTATAGATTACATGTATGTGCGGTTAGTATTTCCGTGTTTGCAGCTACGCAGTCAAATAGAATTGAAGGTGTTTTGTCATTTGACAATTGTAAATACATCCTTATATACATGTAAAAATGTATAGGTACATATCCCGATGACAGATAAGGTGAGGTGAGGTGAAATGGGGTTTAACGTCGCGTCCAAGATTATTGCACTTATACAGTGATGGACATTCACGTGTGTGTGTTTGTGCGTACGTGCGTGCGTGCGTGCGTGCGTGCGTGCGTGTGTGTATGTGTGTTGTACTAGTCCGGACTGATGTCGATTTTATATTACTAGCCCACTGAGATACCATGCCACAGTTTAACATAAATACCCCACTCAGACAGAGTATACTGACTCCGAGCCGATCAGTCCTTGTTTTAGCCTCTTAAATACAATGCAGAGCGCCAGGCAGGTTAACAACAAGTACCATCTTTGACCGTCTTTCAGTATGACGCGCCCGGGGATCGAACACCGAACCTTTCGCTCTCTACCACTAGACCACAGAGGCGGTCATGTCAGATAGGCGATCGGGTAGTCTGTCTCTTTGACTTAGCTGATGGTGTAACTACGACCTTCGATATATATATGTTGACGGAGGCCTGAAAACAAGTAATAATTCTGGTAATTCAATACTTTTTCTCTGGCCCATTTGAAGCTCAAATCATGGAAAGAACACAAAGAGATCCGCCTGGATCAAACATGAAGGTGTACAACTCGACCAGATTCACTGGTTAGTGTACACTCCACTGCAGTTCATAAAGCTACATGTATTGTAGTTGCCCAAAAGAGCTCATTTCACCTGATGGTAAAGAACCAGTGCAATCAGAAAACCATTATGTGCAGATAACCATGTTTCCATGTCTGTGGTTTATGTTACATATTGTTAACTGTACCTTTATGTAAATTAGGTTGTGTTATAAGGATGTTTGTGACATATCTGAAAAGAAATTCCAAACAATCTAAAAGGCCTAGTATTTTCAGATTACCCCTCCCACCCAGCCGGCCACCCCCAGGTCAGACCTTACAGCTTGATGTTGGGGTTCCTCTGTAAGGGGGAAATACATTGTATGTACAAACAGTATACCTGCCCTGTATATATCAAAGAACTAAATTAACAAGAAACGTCCTCGTGATATTCCGAATGTGTAATGTCGGATTAATGCTTACTACGAGTATAGAACTGAAATAAATAAATTTCATTTCTTGACACCATTTTGTTATGCTGGACTGTATTCTATTTTCTATTTTCCGTTTGATGAATGAATTGTTAGGTTTTCATTTAATTAAAAACAATCAAACCTTCTTTGTTTCTTACATACGACACCATTATAACCCCTCCCATAGTTTTCATTTGTTGTATGTTGTCAACAGAATTGAATGAAATCATGTTGATACGTCACGAGTGTCATGTTAAAAGTAAGACTATATTTATATCGAAGTATCCGCAGTTCGAGACAAGCAGATTATACCAGACCATCTCCAGTTAATGGAGTAGCTCGGTAGACGGAAATAGACTAATTCATCATGATAACAATCACATATAACGTGCTATAGCTATTTGTATCGTGGTATCTGTGTCACTCTTCCAGCACACTTTAGGAGATAGCACAGGCGTGATCATGATGACTCATCGTTAACTCTCACCGTACCAGGTGCTGTCTAGGAAGGTAATCCCTGTATCTGGTATTACCAGGCACCTGTGCTTTGTGTGTCATCACCTATCTCAACCTTCAGATTGAGCACGGGTGCTTCAACGTTTGGCAAAATAAAATCACACGACGTTAGTTGGGTGGGTTATTCGCGGAAACATTTATCACTGATTTTCAGCGATCATATATAATTTTACACAAAACGGAATCTGTTGCATCGGATAATCGGGACATTATTCTTTGGCGTTGATGTTTCATATTTCTAAGAAATTCCCGAGTTCGGTTCCCCACATGGGTACAATGTGTGAAGCCCATTTCTGGTGTTCCCCACCGTGATATTGCTGGAATATTGCTAAAAGCGGCGTAAAGCCATACTCATTCACAATGAAGTCCAGGTGCACATTTGGTCAATCATTGATGCACTGCCAGCCTTGTGCCTCGTTGATGGCAACATTATGTATCCCATAATACTGGTCATTGTTAAAATAATGTAGGTCGTTGTGTCACAGATACCGTGATACTAGTACTACTCTTATTCCTTAAGGAATACCATACCAGGTTGTTAAAGAGACATTTAAAATTCGTGTGGTGATGTTGGGGATTTTACGAGAGCTTCCGTTAGAGTTATGCAGATGTCAGAATTTCAATGCTTCAAATTAAACTAAGAATGATTTGCCGCGAGCTAGCACTTCCTCTTGTGTCTTATAGACATTAGGCCGCATGCTGATACATAGTCTGCCAAGCACTGTCTGGTGGCACTGGTCATATTTACCGCCTGGCTGATACCATTTTTTAACAAATTATTTGTTTTTTTAGCTTCTCTCTACTGTTGCATTTTACTTGGCTAGTGTGATGAATATATTGCATGTAAATAAGTATATCGTCTCTCGTAACACTCAACAGGTGGCTCATTTACTGTTTTATGTAACACTGTATTATTTTGTGAGGTTAGAGTCTACCACACCGTTAGTCACATTCATTCAAGTCCCTCATCCCAGCAAGCAGGGACTCAGATAACGTTATCAACCAGCTTTCACAACTGACAGCTGCTTTTCCACAGGTGTTGCATTTTCTCCGTCCCATGTTGTCCCTGTCGAGCGCGCGTTAAGTCTCCAACATCACCATCAGAAGTAGCGTGGTATTCGTTAGGCGTCAACACGGTAGACTCCAGCCATTTCGCTGTACCAAAAAGTTGCGGTTCTGTAGTGCGGTATCAGTTCATCTAGGCATAGACAAGCTTCCTTCCTGCCTTTCACACGTACAAAACAAACAGTAAACTGTATATACTCCTGTCATGCAGTTCCATGACATTTAATGACTGTGGGTATCGCCGTCATATTCGACCCGGACCGGTGACGCTTGAACCTTGTTCGATACAGTTGACATATAATATTTACTGTTATGTGTCTGTTGACTTGAATCTTAAAAGCATCTGCTCGTTTATGTTTTGTGATCCGAAGTAACAAAAGGTATTATTTTGTCTCATTCCTTTGGGACGGAAGCTGCTTTTTCAATATTTGCATTTTCATAAAGATACCTCCGTCAGTGAACCTCTTCGGAATTTGTTAAATATTCTGAAATGTGTTTTTATCAAGATGTGCAAGCAATATACTCATTTATCATTTAACTTAAGCATTTATCCATGACATAAGCTTATGACATAAAAACATGTATGTCATACCCCAATGACATAAGTATGCAAATTAGATATGCAAATTAGAAAACCGGAAGAGCGAGCGGTTTGATTTGAAACTATATATTATAAGTGAAGTTACACCAGAGATATAATCAGATTACACAGAATCGTTGTTGTTACCGTTATTAAAGTTTCAATTATTCTGCAAAAGTCTGTTCAAGTATTTTGTTTAAAATAATCCGAGGAACTTTTTTTCTCCGCGAATTGTTTATTTTGGTTTACATGGCTATGGAAAACATGTATCACTACGCACGATCTATACGTAAGATTTCGACAAGTTGCTGATGTTAATGTTTAATGCAATTATTCCTTAATTTGGAAGCAAAAATGTGAAAATGATAAATAGAATTCATCACTCGTGTTTTTTTTATATTGGAAATATCAACCTCGTCCCGTTAATCGGTATTTGCCTCGCCAAAGGCTCGGCAAATACCGATTAACTAAGACTCGGTTGATATTTCCCATATTAAAAAACACTCGTGATGAATCCTCTATATAACATAGGTGCTTTGCAATTATGACATAGTCCCAGTCTTCGTGTTTTCTTTTGCCTTTTGGGTATATATGCATATCTGCAAGAGGCAGTTTAATGCCCCACTGGACAGAGTATGGAGTGAGTGAGTGAGGGCGTGTTCAACGTGTTTAACGACACAGCACTGTCCTGTCTGTTACCGACACCTGCCAATAATCGAGAAGCGGCTGCCGTCGGTTACAACGACACAGAATAAGATAAGCGTACTTTGCATGCAACTGCAGTTTTTTACAACTAATTGCATGCAGCAAGTCGTGACAACTAGTAGGGCTGGGAGGGTTAACTCGGGTACTCGGGTCGGATGGGTACTGAATAGGACCCGGGTACCCACAGGACTACCCGGACCCGTGGTGAGTCACGTAATATATTGTTTAATGACAAAAACTATCTACAACTACAAGTTCACAGTTCTTTCTGACTACTACGCCCATTCCTTCTGACCTATTTATGTTTGAATAAAAATATAACTTCAGTCAACTTCAGTGTATGCATGACCAAATCGTTTTATACCTGTATCTAAACACATTTTGACCGGGCTACGGTCACACTTTTCCCGACTTCGGACAGTTTGTACCTACCTCTTGAGACCTACAGCGGGTAACCGGGTAGGGTCGGGTATTTTGGGGACTCGTCCCAGCCCTACCAACTAGTTGTAACGCGTTGTCCCCTTTACGTGTCAGGTGAAAATCCTTCTTGTTATTACAGTTCCCATTACAAGCATTATAATCCCCATGGTTATCAACCATTGTCGCGTTATACTAAATCATCCGTCGAAGATCAAAGATATTACTCCAACTTCAATACGTCAAATAGCCCCTTAGTTTCAGTTTAAGCATCAATGGCTGTAAGAAATAGCTGGCCTACAATTTTACGTTTTACGGCTATAATAAAAAGCTGGCCTACAATCTTACGTTTTAAACAATGATTTGGTTAGATCGCCATAACGCCCTTCTGATGCGAAACATTTACCGAAAGTATGAAGTTACCTTTGGCTCTGCTTTGTCTGATTCACATGACTGAGGAAGAACAGACGAAATTCATATGAATATAATTCCGTTTTAAACACTGTTTTGGTTAGATCGCCAAAACGCAATTCAGATACGAAACTCGTACCGGAAGTAGGAAGTTACCTTTAGCTCTGCTTTGTCCGATTCACATGACTGAGATCAGCAGACGAAATTTACATGTTTAGTGTTATTTTGTCGTGACAACTCATCATGCACAGGCTGTTTGGTGTTATTCTTGTTTTGTTGCAAACAAAATTAAGTTTGTCATCTCCAGAAACCTACTACTTCACGGACAAATACGGTCATGGTCGTCTTTTCGATGGCATTGGTGGACTGAGTGCAGGAGCGGTATGTTTCAATGTCACGATTGTCAATCATTGTGGACAAACAGGCCCTTGCCTCATGATCTACAGCTTGAATATTTCTTAGCTTGCACTACTCGTATACCTTGTGATAATGTGCAGGCTACACTTGTACCGTATATGATTAAGAGCGTGCATATTCCATTTGGTTTGTTACTCTTACAAGTCGTAGCCTAGATCTTGTGTCATGATTAGGTCACATACAGCACCACCGTTGCTTTATTCTAATAGCAGCACCTATATCTATCGACGTCTAACACGATTTCAGGAAGTCTGGGATGAAAATCAGTCAATGTCCTTGAAAATGAACCGATATAGGAAACAGTCCTACCTGCTCTGTGATAACGACACCACCTACTTTTTAAACTGAGACATGTTATTTTAGTTGAAACTTTTGATTTATATATTTAAAATGATAATAGCCGTAAGCGTAACACTTTGGAACAACTGATATCAATTGCTGGATGTTTTACATTTGGAACAAATTGATCAGCTTCTCATTCTTACTACAGCAAAGGGATCAAAAGGAAATGCAAAATTTACCGTAATTACAACCAACAAAAGTTATATGAAAATATTAGATAGTTACCTTGTTTGAGGAATGTATCCATCAATAGCCACATAAAGGACCAATATCCCATACAGCTAAAACTGTACAAAGAAACTTGTTCGATGTCACATGTCTTTGTAACAATGTAATAATTTAAAATATTTATAGCGTTTTGGGATATTATAACATGAATACATGACAATTTTATGGATAGCAACTTCTTTTTATTCTTAATACCAAGAATAAAAAGAAGTTGCTATCCATAAAAAGTGTCAGCACCATACCCGTACTCGTTGGTTTCACCAAAGTGGTAAACGAGACCTGCATCACTTTGGGCTATCCTCCTACATTAAGCTGACACACTGTGATATAACTGGAATACTGTTGAAAGCAGCACGAAACTCATCCAATTTAAGTGTTCATGGATGCCCTTAAAACTCAAAGCAAGCCAGCTCTACACATGATGCATTAATTATTGCATGTCTTAGGCAAAACTACAACAACACCTTGTTTCACTTTCATTTTTTCAAGAGCACAAAATAAAGAAAACTTGATTTTGAAATGTTTTTATTTTTTGTTTCAGTCTTCAGTCCTGTTGAAAGGGTACCCAGAAAAACAGAGAAATGAAATTTTGGACTACATGTTTAAGGTGTGTGGCATCAATATATTATGTGATACAATCCGATGTCCTTGATACAGTTGTGCATATCCTATTTATTGCCTTAACAATGTACTTTATCTTGATTTAGGCTGTTGTGACTTTCCCACAAACTATTATTTGTTATATTGACCCCTGCATATTGAGCATTCATGAGATAACTGTCTTTCATTTATATGTACCATTTATTAAGATACAATGAAGTGTTCACCAGTATGAAGAAAGATCACACAGATCACTAACAGTTTTAGTCCACTAGTCCTTATAATGATAACATATACCCCAGCGGTAGAAACTAACAGTTTCAGTCCACTAGTCCTTATAATCATTGATAATGATAGCATATAGCAAAACCTTTAAAAATGTCAAAATTCTACTAGTCCTTAAGATACCTTTACTATTGGGCAGTTTGGCAAGGACTATAGGACTAGTGCCAATTTCTAACCCTGATACCCCGGTAGCAAAACCTTTAAATCTTTGCTTAAACCTGATTGCATAAGGCTATAACCACATGTCTACGTTATCATTTGAGTGAAGCACAAACTTGTTGATAGCAACAACCTCGTGTTAGCCAGGTCACATGGAACATGGACAAGTTAGTATCATCATAAGTATTGTAATGTGACACAAGTGTCACAGTATGTATCCATACATGAGGTAGGCATGACATGACACCCCTAGTTTTTAGGGCCGGGACGAAGATCCACCGATGCATTAGTGTATCGTCCCTCAACTACTAATTTTATGAGTTTCCATGCAAGAATTTGAAAAATCACTGGTATCTATGTTGGAGATCAATTTATACTAGGCACCAAAAGAAACGCCATGGGAGCCGTGCCAATTTACACTTGTCAGAGGGGTACACAAAGTACGTGATCTAGTCTACCAGTTGTCAGAGTTTCATTTTGTGGAAGCCTCGGTGGCTGAGTGGGTTAGATCGCTGACTTTGTGTACTGGTGATTATGTGCCTCACTCTGGCAGTGTGGGTTCGAATCCCGGACGGGACTCAATCCAAAAAAGTACGAGAATCTCTACTTTACTAAGAAAGTGTTCTCCCAAATATAACATTTGTTACATTTGACCACTTTCTAAATGGCATTGTGTGTTCATAGCTTTCAGGAGCCGTGCCAATTTACATTTGTGAGAGGGGTACACAAAGTAAGTGATCTAGACAACCAGTTGTCGGACTTTCATTTTGTGGAAGTCTCGGTGGCTGAGTGCGTTAGATCGCTGACTTTGTGAGCTGGCGATTAGGTGTCTCACTCTGGCAGTGTGGGTTCGAATCCCGGATGGGACTCAAGTCGTTTTTCTTTTAACTTTAGAGTTATCATGGTTATGACAATGAGCCCTTGACTTCGATACTTAATTTTGAACCACATACCCGCTTACTTGTCTGTTCCATGGGTAATATTTCAGCATATTAACTCAAATAGATTATGTCAGCTTTTTCTTTTTTTCAGCCAAATTTTGGAGCAGCCTTTCAGATCCTGAAAGTTGAGATAGGTGGCGATGCTCAAAGTACAGGTAATATGCAATAGGTTGTTCCCTGTAGGAGTGAATAGGGTACCACAGCCACTAAACTAAGAATCTTCCCTGTCAGTTTCTGCCCCTCTAGACAGCCTCATTCTAGAGGCCACTGCAAGTTGAACTCGATGATGAATCAGACAGTGGAGGTACTTCAAACTGATCAGTGTTTATCATCATTTAACTAATGCACCAATATCCAGATGTGAAACTGTGTGCTGCTGCATTTGATTGCTCTTGTAAAAGCCTGGACCAATCTGGCTTTCAAATTCACTATTCTGACCAAATAAAATGTTGAATGAGATGGTGATTATATATGACAGGGATATATGTAGTCACTAACATATGCAATTTTAACATGTTCCTGAAGAAGTGTATTTAGAAAAAGACAACAAAGATATTGTAGTTTTAAAAATGAAGATTTGAACTTTTTTACTGCACCATAATGGTCAAGAAACGGCTCATTACAAACAAACCTTGAATTCAAATAAAAGCTGTTCATTGCAATGCATTGGCCTTTGAATGCATGCAGACAACATATCTTAGAGCCCAGGTAAATACGTTTGTGCAATGGGTGGTCACTATTGTGGTCAGGTGGAGCACATTTATCTGCTGATGAAGTACCGGTACTATAAAGTAGAACCTTTCAGCATGACAGGCCTTAAACAAAAAAACATTTGATGGCATGAATCGTACAGTTGATATAAAATCATGGAATCTGCTTCGAATGTGAATGGTGGCGTTTGTGCAATCTGCAGTGTATAGTGAGTGGAACTTGAGTAGTCACCTCTGCTCTAAAATAGATAAAGAATTATGCCAGTACTTTATCGGGACAGAACATTTATAACATCCTGATCTATACTACATATCATCCTTTATCTATACTTCATATCATACTTTATCTATACTACATATCATCCTTTATCTATACTACATATCATCCTTTATCTATACTACATAAGCTTGTGCTATAGTAGATATGGTAATTGGTCAGTCAATTTTCACTTTCTTGAATGTTAACATGATCAAGCCGTAACTCTGGTTTGACTGCAATATTGATACATATACTGAAGGAAATAACTAAGGGAGCAGACCTACAGGAAATTAGTGGTGGGACGATACTCTGATGCATCAGTGGATTGTGATGTTTTACTTCTCGATACAAGTATCGATCACAGTTGCACATAAAGTAAAAAATATCGATTCATACCTTAAATGTTTGCTTTAATAAATGTTACTCCAAACACTAATTAGCAGGGAAAATTAGTAGTGAAAACAAATATTTTTATCCATTGCCACTCTTGACACTGCCAACAATTATTTGTCAGTGTGCCAGGTATTTGGCCATTCTGTCTTTGAAAAAGATGGCTTCTGCCACAGATACGAGCACATGCAAGGTATCATGATACGTATTGGATCGCACAGCTGGTGTGTCGCCCCAGTCCTACAGGAAATGTTTGACAGCATACTCCATAAGTTACTCCATGCCCCATGAGGTGTAATTTGGCTGTGTAGTAGGCTAGCAATACTTTGTAATGGTTTACATATTCTTTCTAACTATTGTCAACCGATTGGTTGAAATAAAAATGAAAATACATTTGTGTAATTCAATATTTTTTTATTTCATTTGGCATGGATTTGTTTGGGTAGGTCGGTTTTGTGGGGAAAAAATAAATGCTGATACCATTTAGTGCAGAATAGTAAGTATTACACCTGATTTCAGTACTGATATGTACAGTAAACTATGTTTATTACGAACACGCTTATAACGAACTGATGGATAAAACAAACTGGTTTTTTTCCCAGCCTTTAGTTATATATAGGCTTATAACAAACTATGGTTATAACTGACTAAACTTAGTGGTGCCTTTGTTATAACCGTAGTTTACTGTATTCATATTTTCATTGTACTTCTGTGAAGGCATTGTTCTGTTTATGGCAATGCATATGATCAATTAAGTTAAAAGTGACTTTAATTTTTAATGATTTTATAATGATAAATTCCTTGTTGAAATAAAAAAACACAACCGGTTCTCATGGTATTCGAGAAGACTCTTTGACATTTGAATTTTCATTTTAATGAGTTTCCTTCATGTGGATTGTGATTAATGGCGCAGAACGCTTTCCTTACATGTCAAGTAAAGACCAAACGTCATGCAAAACACTGATCCTCTTTGTTATCAATAATACAGCTGGCATCCCTTTTGGATTTTAGTCAGAGGAGAATGCCTGTACCACATACCTGTCATATCAAGCGTCAACTTGATGAGGTTTGGAATGTCACAATGTGGGATCTAACTGTTTCACTGGAACCAGACGGTGTGGATTGTTGTTCATGCTATCAACCACTTATTTGCATTGCCAAGACTTGGTTTATTTACAGCCTGCCAATATTGATAGATTTGACGACAACATTTATTGATTAAACAACATTCACTCTCTCAATTCCAGATGGGACAGAGTCCACGCACATGCGAACACCGGACGAGGAGAACTACCAGAGAGGATATGAATGGTGGCTGATGTTGGAGGCGAAGAAGGTACCTCACACTCAGATACAGTAACGAACACTTGAAAAGTCCTTGTATTTAAACCCCTTCATTGAAAAGTATTTAAATTTACCATTTCTTTAATTCAATATTTGAAATGACAAAAAAAAATGAATTGCATGAACGAGCCTTGAAAAGGAAGCAATCAGTCCTCCACTGAATCGATTTACAGAAGTAATTACCAATCTAATTTCATTGCAAGATTTAGCAGTACTACAACTGAGCACTATGTTCGTGTGTCGCATCATGCGTTAATGTCATTGCACTTACGGACATAAATAAGGAACCATGTTTCTGCTGATGGAAGAAAATTTACAGCAGAAATATGGCTGAAAGTTTCAGGTGACTAGTATCTGTTGAAATGATTATGAGGAAGTTGAATGTATATTGTCTGAACTTTCAGAGGACTAATTGTTCTATTTTAGGATGAATATAAATGTCTTTGAAATTAGGATTTTGTCCTTGAAAAATCTATGAAGTCTGAGACATTACCCTCTAACCGGGTGGCCTAAGTAGTCTGTAAGCCCACTAGGGCTGGATAGGTTGATTAGAAGTGGGGAATCCTTTTGAAACATGAACTATATTGAACAAAAAAGGGACCATAAATGTTTTGGGGATTTTTTTTTGTAGTGAAGACGGAGCGCACATTTGATATTTCATGCGTAAAATTTTCTCATCACCCCTAACTTTTTTATGTTCATTATATCAGTTATATGTCAGACATGTTATCCGCCAAGTTTTGCCGGGGGACTAACTATTTGACTAGAGTTTTGAAAAGCATGCTTTATCCAGAATGGTATTTGGTTTTATTGTAGCGGAACCCCAACATCAAGCTGTACTGCCTGCCCTGGGGGTGGCCTGGCTGGGTGGGAGGGGACAAGGGGGACGTGTACGCCAACCCTGAACAGACAGCCATGTATGTTGTCAAGTGGATCAAGGGAGCAAAGACGGTGCATAATCTCACTATCGACTATGTTGGGGTGAGGAGCTGCATACATTTACATGATAAACTCTGGTCATACTATCAGACTTCAGACATGTTGCTTGATAATGGAAAGTGACCTGTTGTATTGCAGTAATTTAGTATTTAGTTAACTAACTTAATGTATGCTTATACTTTTATTATCTTGTGTTTGAATGATCAAGTGAGCTGTGTTTTATGTCAGTTTGTATCACGGCATGGCAACTTAATGTGGGAGGAAAACCAGAAGTATTGTATTGTATATATTAAGCACTAGTATTGTGCTGACAGGGAAAATGATCATATTCAAGACAGTTCTGGGTTTCAATTCTGAGATCAGCATGTCTTGTCTTTGAGCAAAGGATTGGAGATTGATGTCAAACTATCAGACTTCAGAGATGTTGTAAGGGACTGAACATTGAGGAAAATGGTTCATGACAGGTATCAACTGACTTTTTTATTTTGTTAGATAAAAAGATGCAGACATCCTTGGAAATAATGAGTAATATATTGACTGAGAGTGGAAATTAACCCATAGGGATATGGGTGAGTGAGTTGGTGTGTTGTTGAGTGAGTGAACGATATGGGTAATAAGTGAGTGAGTAAGTGATACGGGTTATAAGTGAGTGAGTGAGTGATATGGGTAATAAGTGAGTGAGTGATATGGGTAATGGGTGAGTGATATGGGTAATGGGTGAGTGAGTGATATGGGTAATAAGTGAGTGAGTGATATGGGTAATAAGTGAGTGAGTGATATGGGTAATAAGTGAGTGAGTGGGTGATATGGGTAATAAGTGAGTGAGTGATATGGGTAATAAGTGAGTGAGTGATATGGGTAATAAGTGAGTGAGTGATATGGGTAATAAGTGAGTGAGTGGGTGATATGGGTAATGGGTGAGTGAGTGATATGGGTAATAAGTGAGTGAGTGATATGGGTAATAAGTGAGTGAGTGGGTGATATGGGTAATGGGTGAGTGAGTGATATGGGTAATAAGTGAGTGAGTGATATGGGTAATAAGTGAGTGAGTGAGTGATATGGGTAATTGGTGAATGAGTGATATGGGTAATAAGTGAGTGAGTGATATGGGTAATAAGTGAGTGAGTGATATGGGTAATAAGTGAGTGGGTGATATGGGTAATAAGTGAATGAGTGGGTGATACGGGTAATAAGTGAGTGAAATGGGTAATGGGTGAGTGAGTGATATGGGTAATAAGTGAGTGAGTGATATGGGTAATGAATGAGTGAGTGATATGGGTAATAAGTGAGTGGGTGATATGGGTAATAAGTGAGTGAGTGAGTGATATGGGTAACAAGTGAGGTTAACATAGCTTTGACAAGTATTTCTGTTATATCATAATATGTCAGCTTACTGAGGGAGGAACGCCCACAGTGATGCAGGTGGAAGACACTTTGTGAATTCTATGAGCATGTGTATGGTGCTAATAGATAAATTATCATCATAATGATAATCAGGACACCTGAGTTGCGAATCTGTGATCAGTAGATGCTGGCATGTGTATGTCAGCAAAGGATTAAAGACTGTGCTGAAGCTGTAGTTTCAGTATGAAGGTTATCTGAATCTTGACAAAGTGACTGAACATATTGAGTGTTTAGCAAGTTATGTTTCTCTCTTGTTTTGTATTCAGATATGGAATGAAAGGATGTACAACATCACCTACATTAAGGTAATCACTCTCCTGTACAGTTGGGATGTAATTGGACATTAGTTGAAAGTCACCCTGACATCAGATATAGATATGTTTTGGATGCACTTAATTTAGTCTCCTCAGGAAAGGGGATATTTCATAGCAATACTTCCTCTATTATAGGGAATTCAATCCTTACAAAACAGGCACCTGAACTAGAGTAAGATAATATCCTTATTATTATTGTTTGTTTCTTTTTCAAACTTTTCACCAATTGTAAGCGTGATTGTCAGCAACCAGCTGTCATTACTCCTATTTGTTCTGGAATTGATGTGGAGACTCTTTTTCAGACACTGAGGAAAACATTGGATAGTAATGGCTTGCAGAACACCAGAATCATAGCTGCGGATTACTTCGGTTGGGACACCCTATCTGATGCCATCATAAACGATCCTGAATTATCAGTAGACATCTATGGAATTGGGTATGAATATTACATGAAAGTTATGGGATAATGGGGAAATTTTATTGACAATAGCTGCAAAACATTATCATGAACTTTTGGATGTATGGAAGTTTAGTTGAGAATGGCTTGAATTATGCCATATATGTTTATAACTACAACGAAGACTTGCTGAAATCTCAAATACTTTATTCTGATTGCCACAATACGAAATATATCACAATATTAAGGTGGTAGTTGGTCATTCTTGAAAAATGTTGTACACATTCAAAGGAAATGATATTAATGTTTTGTTTAATACAATGGAAACATCTCCTCAGTCTGCAGACAAGTACTGTGTTGTACTGATACAAAGACTACAGATACAGTTCATCCTGGGAATTGTTACAACCATACCATTAAGCATGTATGTTTTAGCTAGTTAATAGAGCATCGTTTCTCGTCTCTGATATGTTGTCAGTGTTCACTACCCCGGAACCACCAGTTCCCTCAAGGCCCTGGAGTCCGGCAAACAGCTGTGGTCATCTGAGGACTACAGTACTAACGATGATTTCGTTGGAGGAGGCTGCTGGGCAAGAGTATGTATGGGAAGATCACCTACATTTCTTGTGGTGATTCTGGGGCAGTGTGGGTCCTCTGTAGCCTTCTTGTGGCGGGAGACACAATGGCTGCATAGTACGGGGATTCTGGGGCAGTGTGGGTCCTCTGTAGCCTTCTTGTTGCGGGAGACCCAATGGCTGCATAGTACGGGGATTCTGGGGGAGTGTGGGTCCTCTGTAGTCTTCTTGTGGCAGGAGACCCAATGGCTGCATAGTACTGGGATTCTGGGGGAGTGTGGGTCCTCTGTAGCCTTCTTGTCGGGGGAGACACAACGGCTGCATAGTACGGGATTCTGGGGCAGTGTGTGTCCTCTATAGCCTTCTTGTGGTGGGAGATACAATGGCTGCATAGTACGGGATTCTGGGGGAGTGTGGGTCCTCTGTAGCCTTCTTGTCGGGGGAGACACAACAGCTGCATAGTACGGGATTCTGGGGCAGTGTGTGTCCTCTATAGCCTTCTTGTGGTGGGAGATACAATGGCTGCATAGTACGGGATTCTGGGGCAGTGTGTGTCCTCTATAGCCTTCTTGTGGTGGGAGATACAATGGCTGCATAGTACGGGATTCTGGGGCAGTGTGTGTCCTCTTTAGTCTTCTTGTGGTGGGAGACACAATGGCTGCATAGTACGGGATTCTGGGGCAGTGTGTGTCCTCTATAGCCTTCTTGTGGTGGGAGATACAATGGCTGCATAGTGCAGGGATTCTGTGGCAGTGTGGGTCCTCTGTAGCCCTCTTGTGGTGGGAGATACAATGGCTGCATAGCGCGGGGATTCTGGGGCAGTGTGGGTCCTCTGTAGGCTTCTTGTGGGAGGAGACACAATGGCTGCATAGTACGGGGATTCTGGGGGAGTGTGGGTCCTCTGTAGCCTTCTTGTGGTGGGAGACACAATGGCTGCATAGTGCGGGATTCTGGGGCAGTGTGTGTCCTCTGTAGCCTTCTTGTGGTGGGAGACACAATGGCTGCATAGTACGGGGATTCTGGGGCAGTGTGGGTCCTCTGTAGCCTTCTTGTGGTGGGAGACACAATGGCTGCATAGTACAGGGATTCCGGGGCAGTGTGGATCCTCTGTAGCCTTCTTGTGGTGGGAGACACAATGGCTGCAAATTGCATTCTAGGGCAGTGTGGGTCCTCTGTAGGCTTCTTGTGGGAGGGACACAATGGCTGTTATATATTTCTTTATAACCGGGGTCCCAAACTCCAAAAGGCAGAAATATAATACAGGTGATCATGTGATTTGGCATGCTCACGTTTAAAATAGATCTAGAGTTCCCAACTGAAACAAATCTACAAGTGCTAGCGCTAGAAGACTGTGAAGCAATCAACTGTGAAACATAAGCTGAAAAAAGTGTGGCCTTTTGAATGCAGGATTGTTTTTTGGAAGAGGGTTGGTTGTGATGTGAGCTGATGTTACAGACTGTTTTGGATGAGGGTTGGTTGCTATGTGATCAGATGTTACAGACAGTGTTTGGGAGAGGGTTGGTTCCAATATGAGCTGATGTTACAGACAGTGTTTGGGAGAGGGTTTGTTACTATGTGATCAGATGTTACAGACAGTGTTTGGGAGAGGGTTTGTTACTATGTGATCAGATGTTACAGACAGTGTTGGGGAGAGGGTCGGTTACTATGTGAGCTGATGTTACAGACAGTGTTTGGGAGAGGGTTGGTTGCAATGTGAGCTGATGTTACAGACAGTGTTTGGGAGAGGGTTGGTTACTATGTGAGCTGATGTTACAGACTGTTTGAAAGAGGGTTGGTTGTGATGTGAGCTGATGTTACAGACAGTGTTTGGGAGAGGGTTGGTTTCGATTTGAGCTGATGTTACAGACTGTTTTGGATGAGGGTTGGTTGCTATGTGAGCTGATGTTACAGACTGTTTTGGATGAGGGTTGGTTGTGATGTGAGCTGATGTTACAAACTGTTTTGGATGAGGGTTGGTTGCTATGTGAGCTGATGTTACAAACTGTTTTGGATGAGGGTTGGTTGTGATGTGAGCTGATGTTACAAACTGTTTTAGATGAGGGTTGGTTGCTATGTGAGCTGATGTTACAAACTGTTTTGGATGAGGGTTGGTTGCTATGTGAGCTGATGTTACAGACAGTGTTTGGGAGAGGGTTGGTTCCAATATGAGCTGATGTTACAGACAGTGTTTGGGAGAGGGTTGGTTACTATGTGATCAGATGTTACAGACAGTGTTTGGGAGAGGGTTGGTTCCAATATGAGCTGATGTTACAGACAGTGTTTGGGAGAGGGTTGGTTACTATGTGATCAGATGTTACAGACAGTGTTTGGGAGAGGGTTGGTTACTATGTGAGCTGATGTTACAGACGGTGTTTGGGAGAGGGTTGGTTACTATGTGATCAGATGTTACAGACAGTGTTTGGGAGAGGGTTGGTTACTATGTGATCAGATGTTACAGACAGTGTTTGGGAGAGGGTTGGTTACTATGTGAGCTGATGTTACAGACGGTGTTTGGGAGAGGGTTGGTTACTATGTGATCAGATGTTACAGACAGTGTTTGGGAGAGGGTTGGTTACTATGTGATCAGATGTTACAGACACTGTTTGGGAGAGGGTTTGTTACTATGTGATCAGATGTTACAGACAGTGTTGGGGAGAGGGTCGGTTACTATGTGAGCTGATGTTACAGACAGTGTTTGGGAGAGGGTTGGTTGCAATGTGAGCTGATGTTACAGACAGTGTTTGGGAGAGGGTTGGTTACTATGTGAGCTGATGTTACAGACTGTTTGAAAGAGGGTTGGTTGTGATGTGAGCTGATGTTACAGACAGTGTTTGGGAGAGGGTTGGTTTCGATTTGAGCTGATGTTACAGACTGTTTTGGATGAGGGTTGGTTGCTATGTGAGCTGATGTTACAGACTGTTTTGGATGAGGGTTGGTTGTGATGTGAGCTGATGTTACAAACTGTTTTGGATGAGGGTTGGTTGCTATGTGAGCTGATGTTACAAACTGTTTTGGATGAGGGTTGGTTGTGATGTGAGCTGATGTTACAAACTGTTTTAGATGAGGGTTGGTTGCTATGTGAGCTGATGTTACAAACTGTTTTGGATGAGGGTTGGTTGCTATGTGAGCTGATGTTACAGACAGTGTTTGGGAGAGGGTTGGTTCCAATATGAGCTGATGTTACAGACAGTGTTTGGGAGAGGGTTGGTTACTATGTGATCAGATGTTACAGACAGTGTTTGGGAGAGGGTTGGTTCCAATATGAGCTGATGTTACAGACAGTGTTTGGGAGAGGGTTGGTTACTATGTGATCAGATGTTACAGACAGTGTTTGGGAGAGGGTTGGTTACTATGTGAGCTGATGTTACAGACGGTGTTTGGGAGAGGGTTGGTTACTATGTGATCAGATGTTACAGACAGTGTTTGGGAGAGGGTTGGTTACTATGTGATCAGATGTTACAGACAGTGTTTGGGAGAGGGTTGGCTACTATGTGAACTGATGTTACAGACAGTGTTTGGGAGAGGGTTGGTTACTATGTGAGCTGATGTTACAGACAGTGTTTGGGAGAGGGTTGGCTACTATGTGAACTGATGTTACAGACAGTGTTTGGGAGAGGGTTGGTTGTGATGTGAGCTAATCTTACAGACAGTGTTTCGGAGAGGGTTGGTTACTATGTGAGCTGATGTTACAGACAGTGTTTGGGAGAGGGTTGGTTATTATGTGAGCTGATGTTACAGACAGTGTTTGGGAGAGGGTTGGTTACTATGTGAACAGATGTTACAGACAGTGTTTGGAAGAGGGTTGGTTGCTATGTGAACAGATGTTACAGACAGTGTTTGGGAGAGGGTTGGTTGCTATGTGATCAGATGTTACAGACGGTGTTTGGGAGAGGGTTGGTTCCAATATGAGGTGATGTTACAGACAGTGTTTGGGAGAGGGTTGGTTACTATGTGATCAGATGTTACAGACAGTGTTTGGGAGAGGGTTGGTTACTATGTGAGCTGATGTTACAGACAGTGTTTGGGAGAGGGTTGGTTACTATGTGATCAGATGTTACAGACAGTGTTTGGTAGAGGGTTGGTTACTATGTGATCAGATGTTACAGACAGTGTTTGGGAGAGGGTTGGCTACTATGTGAGCTGATGTTACAGACAGTGTTTGGGAGAGGGTTGGTTGCAATGTGAGCTGATGTTACAGACAGTGTTTGGGAGAGGGTTGGTTACTATGTGAGCTGATGTTACAGACAGTGTTTGGGAGAGGGTTGGTTACTATGTGAGCTGATGTTACAGACTGTTTGAAAGAGGGTTGGTTGCAATGTGAGCTGATGTTACAGACAGTGTTTGGGAGAGGGTTGGATGTGATGTGAGCTGATGTTACAGACAGTGTTTGGGAGAGGGTTGGTTGCTATGTGAACTGATGTTACAGACGGTGTTTGGGAGAGGGTTGGTTGCTATGTGAGCTGATGTTACAGACAGTGTTTGGGAGAGGGTTGGTTACTATGTGAGCTGATGTTACAGACGGTGTTTGGGAGAGGGTTGGTTGCTATGTGAACTGATGTTACAGACAGTGTTTGGGAGAGGGTTGGTTGCTATGTGAGCTGATCTACAAATTGTATTTTTTTCAGCTCCTCAACCAGAATTATGTCAATGGATTTATGACAAGGTGAGCATTCCTGTGAAAGAATTTTTGTTGAAATTGTTTTTATATTTCCTTACAATGTTTTAGTATGTATGTATTCATAGTATAACCCTCAGATATCCAAACAGTTTGTTATGATCAACCTTCACAATACATGCACAGATCTTAGTGGGGCGGTCTGTGCAATGGCCCTAGTGTAGTTGATTATGATACAGCAACAGAAACTAGCAGTTTTAGTCAACTAGTCCTTTTAATGATAACATATAACATTGGGCAGTTTGGCAGGGACTATCAGACTATAGTTGTGTATCTATTTCTGTAGCACAATCTCCTGGGCGTTGTTAGCCAGCTGGTATGAAGGCCTGCCCTACTATGGAGATGGTCTGATGACTGCCATAGAGCCGTGGAGTGGACACTATGATCTGGCTAGTCCTCTATGGCTGACCGGTGAGTGCAATTATATAATATATATACAGCACCTACGTATCAGGTGTGGAGCCGTGGAGTGGACACTATGATCTGGCTAGTCCTCTATGGCTGACCGGTGAGTGCAATTATATAATATATATACAGCATCTACATATCGGGTGTGGAACTATGGAGTGGACACTATGATGTGGCTAGTCCTCTATGGCTGACCGGTGAGCGCCATTATATAATATATATACAGCACCTACGTATCGGGTGTGGAGTTATGGAGTGGACACCATGATGGGGCTAGTCCTCTATGGCTGACCCGTAAGTGCCATTATATAATATATATACAGCACCTACGTATCGGGTGTGGAACCATGGAGTGGACACTATGATCTAGCTAGTCCTCTCTGGCTGACCGGTAAGTGCCATTATAAAATATATATACAGCACCTACGTATCGGATGTGGAGTTATGGAGTGGACACCATGATGTGGCTAGTCCTCTCTGGCTGACCGTAAGTGCCATTATATAATATATATACAGCACCTACGTATCGGGTGTGAAACCATGGAGTGGACACTATGATCTGGCTAGTCCTCTCTGGCTGACCGGTAAGTGCCATTATAAAATATATATACAGCACCTACATATCTTGTGTGGAGCCATGGACTGCCATGGACACTATGATCTGGCAAGTCCTCTCTGGCTGACAAAACTGTGCTTTACAAAGCAACAAATACCTTCCTCTCAATGCATTGTAATCACCTCTTTAATATTTTACTTGTAGTTTTAAAAACTTAATGGAACACATAGTTCAGGAAATATGAATGGTATATTTGCATGGTATCATTAAAAATTCCATTTTTCCTTGCAGCACACACAACTCAGTTCACCAGTGTTGGTTGGCGGTATCTGAGTCATGGCTGGGGGGTGGGGCACCTGTCAGGAGGGGGGACCTATGTTGCCCTGGTCAGCCCTGATGGGAAGGACTTCACCATTGTCATAGAGACTATGGTAAGACATGGAGACTGATGCTTCATCAACATAATTAGCAGCGGTAGAAACTAACATTTTTAGTCCACTGGTCCTTATAATGATAACATATAGCAACTTTTGGGCAGTTTGGCAAGGACAACAGGACAAGTGCCAATTTCTAACGCTGGTTATGTACTCACCCTGGGGAAGTGAAGGTTGAAAACCTTCTCCTCTGTCTTGACGCTATAGTTAAAACACAGCTCCGGAGTTTTGGTTTTGTAATAACTGTGGATATCCATGGTAACAGGGACCAGTGCTAGCAAAGGGTTTTATCATCCCAACAAACTGAGGAGGAGTGGTTTATCTAGCTTCGATACAGACAAATACCGATCAAATGTGTCTGAGTCTTTTGACCAGATATGCGATGTTTCGAGCCCACACAAGTAATTGAGTTGTTTGTCCCCCATAAAGAAGGAGACTCGACCAGTATCTAGTCTACTTTGCATGTCAAGTACAAATTTCTCATCTCAGCCACAAGCATGTTAAGTTATTACATATTCTACAAGCAACACCCCAAAACAATGGATGACATCACAGGAAGTTTCTAAACCCAGTTTGTTTCCAAGGCACTGTCATGAGGAAATCCTTGGGGTTTACTCAATGGCGGAACATAGCAGTAATGATTTGATATTGTTTTCATTTAGAGCCACAACCACTCTTTGTGCATCAGACCAGCTTTACCAGCATACACTGTGGTCCCGCAAGATGTTACATTTGTCTTCAATGGAAGTTATGTAAGTGTTTTTTGTTCTTCCTCCATTAAGAATCTTGCAATTTCACCATATGATGAAACAATACATTTTAATGTAGACCCCCTAATCGTGTGACTGACATTGACCTCGAATATTGACTCGTCACATGATCAGTACTGACCTGTCACATGATGAATATTAACTCGTCTGCTAGTGAACAAGATGGCATCTGGAAAACTAACATTTTACAGTTAGCAGCTAAGTTACTGTAATGAAACAGAGGACAGTTAAAGGCTTCATAAACTCTCAAGTACATTTTGATGTAACAAAACTAATGATAACTCTTGATGAGGTTAAAATGCAAAAACAAAGACCCTCGGTGGGCAGACCACCTCAGCTGTTGGGTCCTTGGGTGCTTGTTTTCACATATTGACTTTGTCAAGAGTAATTATTTGTATAATAAGAAATGCAACAAGTTGAATATTGTTTCTCTTTAACAGGCCTGCTTTTGTTTAGAGCAGAGATTATATAACCAAAAACTGAATGAATTGACTATGATTCATATTTGGAATAGCAAATAAATATGAAGTATTCTTCAGGATGTTTTATATTATAAATACATGATGTGTGTTAAGGATTGTTTCTTTTGCTATCATTTCAGTCAAGTATAAAGAAGTTATACCCGTGGTTTTCACAGCTAAATTTCACTGGAGAGTCCACATTATTCCACCAACAAATGCCCATTCCAGTAAGTGAATTATGTTGTAGGTATTTGTAAGTAAATGACCAAATCGTTTATTATTAAAATCTTTTTTTAGATGAGTCATGCTTTCATGATCATGACAAATGTTAGTGTGCCTGATGAAGGCAGGGAGGCCGAAAGCTTGACTATGTATATTTTGAATTTATTTTAATTTTGGACACAAAAGTCGATTTTATTAAATTAAAAAATATTTCCTAAGGCAAAAAAATAATAGTCTTGGTTCTCAGGCACAGCTCACATCATCATAAAGTTCACCGCATGTTTCATTTTAATTTCCATTTTAAAAAAACAAACAAACAAATCCTTAAATATTCCAAGTCCAATTGTAGTCAAATACTATATTCCAGTTTTTTACTCATCAAGGAATACATTTATGAAGGGAGACCCTTTTCCCAGGTTGATTGTACACAACTGTTTATTTGGTTACATACTCATTTGAACAACGGAAAAAAAAGACATCGCCAGCCCGCACTATATTTTAAAAAAACATTGCCTGAAAACCAATTCTATTATTTTTTAAGCCTAATTTGACTGCACCAAGTTTGGAATCCCAGATAACTCCCTGTTATTTGACACAGACTGCAGGGAAAAGGACATTCACTGACTCGTTCAAAGTTCAAGACTCTGTTAATGTTTGATAGAGGAAATCAGGACACTTAACAATATTTGCATCTACTATGTTGATTGTTTGCAGGTGATTGATGGCCAGATAAGGTTTAAACTGGGTGTAGATCAGGTACTGACCCTGACAACAGTTGCTACAGGCAACAGGGGCCAGTATGCACCCCCTCCACCATCCAAACCATTCCCACTTCCGTACTCTGTCAACTTTGAAGGTAAGCAAATACTTCAGTCTCTTGTATCTAAAAACTAAATCAACTTGCTTTTTCAGCTTTATTCAAAATACTTCAATGAGAAAATGTGTGGATATTTTCTGGCCTCCTTAGACTAATTTGGTCTTATGTCTGGAATGAATTTGTAGTGAATGAGATGGACATGGTAAGTTATTTAAGAGCTCTTTTATCTGGTTCCAAGTAATGCCTGCTAGCATCAACTTGCACTATTGGGAAATTAAGATGTCCTACTGGTGCCAGGCATTTGACTAAGGATCTGTATACACATCTAGTCACACATAATATATCATTATTATCCTCCACGAAAAGTCTTATTTCTTAGCCAATATTTTATCTTTTAATTTTACATCAAATCACTGTGTTTTCTCTCTTGAATTCAAAGGATCTACCACACTCAGACCTATAAAGTTTATGTGATTGCTGGCGAACCATTTTTCTTTAAAACTCACAGAACTAATGTCTCTCTTCATTCTGTTCCCCAGAGACCAGTGTCTACCAGGCCCCAGCTGTGTTTGCCCAGCAGATTGGATCATTTGAGGTTGCAGATGTTGGGGGCACGCATGGCCATGTGTTGAGGCAGATGACTCTTCAGAAACCTGTAGCCTGGTGTCTTGCTGACTCTATAGGCATGGGGTTCACCATCCTTGGCAGTTCCCACTGGTAGGTATCATAGTAGAGACGTCTGTAGCCTGGTGACTTGCTGACTCTTTAGGCATGGGGTTCACCATCCTTGGCAGTTCCCACTGGTAGGCATCATAGTAGAGACGTCTGTAGTCTGGTGACTTGCTGACTCTATAGGTATTGGGTTCACCATCCTTGGCAGTTCCCACTGGTAGGCATCATAGTAGAGACGTCTGTAGCCTGGTGACTTGCTGACTCTATAGGCAGGGGGTTCACCATCCTTGGCAGTTCCCACTGGTAGGCATCATAGTAGAGACGTCTGTAGCCTGGTGACTTGCTGACTCTATAGGTATTGGGTTCACCATCCTTGGCAGTTCCCACTGGTAGGCATCATAGTAGAGACGTCTGTAGTCTGGTGACTTGCTGACTCTATAGGCATGGGGTTCACCATCCTTGGCAGTTCCCACTGATAGGCATCATAGTAGAGACGTCTGTAGCCTGGTGACTTGCTGACTCTATAGGTATGGGGTTCATCATCCTTGGCATTTCTCACTGGTAGGCATCATAGTTGGGATGTCTGTAGTCTGGTGACTTGCTGACTCTATAGGCATGGGGTTCACAATCCTTGGCAGTTCCCACTGGTAGGCATCATAGTAGAGATGTCTGTAGTCTGGTGACTTGCTGACTCTATAGGTATTGGGTTCATCATCCTTGGCAGTTCCCACTGGTAGGCATCATAGTAGAGACGTCTGTAGCCTGGTGACTTGCTGACTCTATAGGTATGGGGTTCACAATCCTTGGCATTTCTCACTGGTAGGCATCATAGTTGGGATGTCTGTAGCAAAGACAGAATTGTCAGAGACATTATAATAAGTAAAACTATTTTCATATTATATTTGTCTGTGGCTGACTGAATCTGTAAACCCCAAGCAACATGTTCCGTCCGTTTGTACCAGGAGTGACATCTATGTACAAGCCGACATCCAGGCCCCGAACAACAGCAACGTCAGTGCAATCTACGTCGCAGCCCGAGTCACTCAGGCAGGGTGTCAGTCTAACATGGCCAAGGGAGTCTTCCTGTTCATCAACCCTCAAAAGAAGCTGTATATCCTGTCAAGCTCTATCAGTAAGTTGCTGTTACCCTGTTCAGTGTTGGGGCATGGGTGGCCTAGTCATCTTAGGCGACGCAATTCTCTGTGCAGAGTTGCGTCCCTTGGGCACGCCAGAAACCTTTGATTGTGGGTTCAAATCCCAGTTCGCAGCGATTATGTTTCTAGGTTTGTCAGCACCATACCCATGATCTTGGGTTTCACCGAAGTGGTAAACGTCTGAGACCTGCATCACTTCAGGCTTTCCTCCCACATTAAGCTGACACGCCTTGATAAAACTGTAATAATGTTAAAAGTGGTGTTAAACCCAACTCACTCACTCACTGTTCAGTGTGACTCTAAGTGCGTGGATTCAGAGAAGAACAGTATCTGAGAGCTTCCAGTTTGTTGTTCAAATGTCGGAATAGTTCCACATTTTCCCATGCACTTTATCAGAGTCATTTTACAAGGATTTGATGGACACAGCGTCACCTAGCTGATTGTACATTCTGTTTCCTGCAAGAAGTGACTATGTGGGAAATCCAGGGTAGAACAGATCCCAGGTTCCCCACAGGTGAATTGTTTGGGCCAAGCCTGCTTCTGAGACTGACAAGAAGGAAGCACAGTAAACTACGGTTATAACAAACTCAAATGGGCCATTAATTTTAGTTTGTTATAACCGTAGTTCGTTATAAGCATGTATTCAACCTCTGTACAGCAAATGGCTGGGACCAAAAATTAAGTTCGTAATATCCGTCAGTTTGTTATAAGCATGTTCGTTATAAACATATTTTACTGTATTAATAGGGTTCTAAATTACTTGTCTCAGAGTGCCAATGGCATGGTTAACATAGTTATGGCCTATGGTTAAAATACATCCCTGGTGCCTGAAGGTCACACTTAGAACTCGCATGTATTTAATACTTTCAGACAATGTAAGGTATATTAAGCCAGTGATTTTGCAAAATTAAACATAAGAATGCACTTGGGGACCAGTTCAAAGTTTGTTGTCAGATAAAAACCTCAATTCCCTTGGGGTGGTGTTGTGGGTGGTTGGCTTTATGGTGTTTTCCATCTGACAAAATGATCTAACCTGATTTTCAATGTTATGGACAGTAACTGAACTAGGCCGATCCTATTTTCATTCTGATGCTGTTAGAAGTTGTTATATATCCTGTCTTTCCACAAACTAGGGTTTTATTGTGGCCAGCAGTAGTGGAAAGTCCAACTAGTGCAATGTGTAATATAGAGTGGCAGATTTGATCTATGAAAACCCTACAAGTGATTTTCAACACCTAGTTAAGAAACTTCAGTCGATAAATGTTTTGAAAAAGCAGAATGCTTGACAAAAGAGGCCACTAAACTCCAAATTTTCAGAATTAATTTTTTGGGGGAAGGTGTTTGTCTCAAAACATAAGGAATTAAGTTTGTTATCCTCCGTTGAACTTTTGAACTGGTTCCTTAATGCATAGTATGCCTCAAAAAATATACCTAGGGATTAAGAAAATGAACCAGCTAATATCCTTGTCAATGAAAGGAAAGGTGAAAACTGCATATTCATGAAGTGGATAAGTCTAATAAACAACCAGTAAGTTCATAATGTCAGTGGAAACTGTTACTATATACTCACTGCCAAAAGAAACATGAATGACATACATGTTGGTTAATATATGAAGACCTACTCATATGCAAGAGATATAAGATTGGTCCTATGCACAAACGAACATACTGTCATTTTGTGTGAACTGACGCTCTTGAACACATCACATGTGATGTCATAGATCCATGAATCTAGATGCATCATTTGTCTCGTGCAGGATTAGCGTGTAAAGTTTGGAAATCACGTGCAGCATATCATGATAAGACTAAAGACACTCTGTGGTAACACTTGGCTGATTGTTAGTTTTGTCATAAAGTGACACATTAGAAATGTCTCTTCTTAACGTACATACTTCTCTGTATGTTTCTATGGTTCGTGTCTCTTTTGGCGGTGAGTATAGTTGATAGACTTGTGATGTTGACTACAATGTGTAATTGATCACAAACATTTCAAATATCATATTTTGTATGGATAAAAATTCTTCTTGCTATATACACATTAATTCCATGTAGCACCTAACTTTCCCATAGAGTTCCCATGTGGCTCACTTGAAACAACAAACATTTTGATCCCTGATGTATGAAGTGTGTTTGAAGTGTGAAGCCAAGAACTGATTTGACTTTGTGGGGACTGTAATTATTGTAACCTGGGTCATCAGCTGGTGACCAGGTCAACCTCTAGGTTAATCCGCCACTCTGCACTGTGTTAACACTGTCTAACACTGTTAGTATTAACACTGTCTAACACTGTTATTGATAATTATATGCGTATATGTTGGTCTTCAGGTTTAATCGGCATCTTGGCGACAGGAAAAATTGAAACACTCAACAAAGACTGGAATACAGTGTCACTCCTGACTGTGGTATGTGTTTGCTATGCTGTTAGTTTCGGTAGGTTTGTATCCCTCTTAGGCCTGCATGTATAACCAGTTGTAGGTCAAATTTCTTGACCAACCGTGTCCTCCATGTGCAACTTCAAGCTCTTCTTGTCGTATGGTCGTTTTGTTTCATCTATTACAAGTAATCTCCTTGTGTGTGTAGTCTAGGGTGAGATGAGGTGTGGTGAAATAGGGTTTAACAGTATTATTGCATTTAGCAAAATGCATGCGTGTGTGTGTGGCTGCTTGTACAAGTCCGGACTAATCCCGATTTTATAGTGCTAGCCCACTGAGATACCATGCCGCAGTTTAACATGAATACCCCGCTCAGACACAGTATACTGACTCCAAGCCGACCAGTTCTTTGTTTTAGCCCCTAAATGCAGAGAGCCAGACAGAATAACAAAAAGTACCATGTTTTGTTCATCCATTAACCATGCTAAGATCTGGTTATCAGCGGCTCGTGCCCCATATTCACTCTGATAAATATTATGATCCTTTATCACTAAAACCTAGATTGTGCTTTTCACCAAGATGGTAAACATCTTTCAACACGCTTCTATTTGAGACTCTGCGCAGATGCATTATACCAGAGTTACTTTGACTCAAAAGGTGTGTAAAGCCTCCCACATTAAATTGAAATTAATTGGTTAGTCCGGTGTCAAACCCAGACTCCCTCTCTCACCCTCTTGTGGATGACAGATCCGCCTGATAGTGTTGATGATGGATTGTTTTGCCTCCCCCTCCAAAGGGAGGGGAGAAAATATTTGGGGCTTGGTTCCCGTTCACGTCAACGTTTCCATCCTAGTCATTACTTGAAACCGTTCTGCTTTTTTCAACGAAACTTTGCATGTGCATTACTCATCAGCTTAACTGGTGCCTTTTGCTATTTTGAATTTTTTCTCTGGTCTAATCACTGTGATAGCGTTGAAATATTGCTGCATTAAACAATGTTCACTTCACTCACTCTAGTATTGTGTCTGTGTATGACAGGGAAACAGTGCAGTGGGATCTCTGAATGGGCAAATGATCTTCAACTACACCACCCTACCAACCTCAGTGCAGTCAGGATTTGTTGGCATGGGAACAGGATCTCTAGGCTATGCTGACTTTGATTATGTGAGGATTGCCAGTGCCAGAGATGGGCTACACTACATGAAAAATAGAAAACTAAATATAAGTATTTCAAGTAAGCTGTAAGATAATTCTATTTTGATGTTGTATATTGTTAAGAATGACTTCATGTTTAGGTCATTATGATTATTTTTAATTGTTGACTCATACATTCCACATATATTTTCTTGCCTGTTGTCAAGAGTTTTATCTCAGATTGCTCACAGAAATATTCCAAAATGTCAAGATCTTTTGTCTTGCCAAGTCTTTGTACAGAATTTGACATGAAGAATGTTTGCCATAATTTTGCACAAATGATTGAAAGTACTTATATACATGTATTTATATAATAAGGATAACTAGTTTTTATGTATTGGAGAAAACACGTTCACGAGGTTTTGGTAGACAGAGCATGCCCTGGGGAGAGGGAAAAACCAAGGGGGCAAAGCCCCCGCATTTTTTTCCGACCCCCAGGGCATGCTCTGTCTACAAAAACCGAGGGAAAGTGTTTTTCCATGCTTATAAACCGAAAAAAGGAACTTAAATCAACATTTATCAACATTTTTATGTTTCGAACATACTTTCCATGAACCTTAGGAAACGCGCGTAAAATATCTGTTGCTGGCGTACGGATCTTGAAAAGGACATTCTAAAAACCAGTGAGGCTTATCAACACCTCTTTTGCCTTGTGGTACACTCACTGGGCTACAGATATAAAGGTTGCGAGTTCGATCCTCGGGAATATAAAGAAAACATTTGTCATTTGATTTTACATTTCATTACCAGGGTACATGTTACAATCTGAACGGAAGTTGTATTAATAAAATACCCAGGACATTATATAAAATCCCTGGGATATTATATAATATCCCAGGGACATTACAACGTCCCCGTTTATGAGATTTAACCCGACTGGAAAGTAAAACCTCACAATAGGTTTTAATGCCTATAGAAAGAAGTCTCTTACTTAATAGCGATCCCAATGAATAGGTTTATAACTAGGGAAAACATGTACATGTATAATGAAGCCTTCAGTATTATACAGGAGCTAACCTGCAGGATTTAGATTGGCCATATTTTTAGGCCATTGACTTTGTGTTTTCATTTTTTCTCAAACTTAGCAATGATAATGATTGTTTTGTAAGAAATGAGAAAATCATGTAAAAGTGCCATTCAAAATTCAAATTTCCATCATCAACATTCTTACTACCTCAGTATCTAAGCAACCGACATCATGATGTGGGTAAGGGATAAGGAAACCTTTAGAATCTAAAATGTTGGTGATAATGCTACATCCTCCTTTCAAACAGTTTGGTCAGAACAGTCAGTTAGCTTGGGATATCAGCTCTGTTTATGATCACACTTATGCAAATACTTTAAAAAATTATCATTGCCATTCATAACTCGATGAACTGAAAAATAACAGGACAATTATTAACCTATCACTGCATTAACCTATATTGCATTAGGTTCCAGACATGCACGGGTAAAACAAGTAACCAGCTCATCTTTCAAACCCAGGTTTTGAAGAGGTTCTCTTCCAAACCTAGATTTTGAAATGGGTCACTTCTAAACCTGCTTTGAGGTTTTACATTTCAAATGTAATACCCAGGCTTCACAAGTAACATTTTATGAACTTGCCTCTTGACGTGAACACAACTGTGTTTGGTGATTGGTTAAAAGTCATATATCATGTTAAGTTTTGTAACCCACTGTTTTCCCACTGAGCTACCAAGGCGGGTGATGAGATGTTGTTCAATTTATGATGTCATGACTCCAGCTAGTCCATGTTGCACATGTTTTTTCTCTCGCATGCTTTGAGCGAATTCCTTTTAAGTTGGACCTGTGAAGATTCCGGGGTAGAATAGGTCTTCAGCAACCCATGCTTGCCGTAAAAGGCGACTAACGGGATCGGGTGGTCAGGCTCGCTGACTTGGTTGATGCATGTCATCGATCCCACATTGCGAGGATCAATGCTCATGATATCAATCACTGGATTGTCTGGTCCAGACCCGATTATTTACAGACCGCCGTCATATAGCTGGAATATTGCTGAGTGCGGCGTCAAACAACAAACCAACCAACCAACCTTTTAAGTTGGATAGGACATGCCTCCGAGGTTTTTGTTGAAAATGTAAAACCTTGAGCTCTTTTTCCTTGTTCACAGTTTTACATTTTCAACCAAAACCACGGAGGCAAGTTTTATCCTATACTTCCTTAATGTTGCATGTATTCAAGTCCATTAGAAGAAGTCATTGTAGATATAAAGGCAGGTATTCCAAACAAAGTGCCTATGGCTGTCAAATTGGCAAAAATATCATTATTTTGTTCAAAATTGGGAAAGTTTTTATTATGCAACATTCAGAGAAATTAACGTTGTATTTTAAAATTGCTTTCATTTCAATAATGTAAAACCAGGCAATAATTCCTCTTCTTTATTGATCAACTTATCAGTGAAATACTCTTCAAAGCATGTATATTAGTTATAACTACAATAGCAGCTAGCGTGAATTGGGATGAGGTTCTTTATACGAGTTTCAAAATTTGCTGCAACAGATCAAGGTAAGTCCCAGAAAGGAGCATCCTTCAGTTGGTTGAGAAGTAGACAAAAGGAGGGAAATGACACATTAGACAAAATAGTGCAGTACATGGACATGGTGTGTGTTTCTTGTTTTTTATATTTTATATTATGTGTTCATGTTAAGTATTGGGGCATCACAAGGTATATATTTGTATTGATGTATCATTAGATCTAGTGTTGCAATGTGTTTTGTATTAGATTTTACAGAGGTTAAATATGTGGCCACATATACGGGTTGATTCTACTTTCAATACTCAAGTTGTCACTACTCAACCTAACAGTCTGTACCATAAGCTGTTCTTGTTTACATGTCAGGGTAATACATAGCTATTTCCTCGAAACTTTTACATCAGCAGCAGACAATGACTACTCAATCCAATCTTACAGAACTGGATTGGTCATTGTTCATATGTCATGTTCATGAAACTGCTTCCTGTGTGCAGGTTGTACAAATCATGGAGAATATTCCAGACCGGAATGAGCTGTTCCTTTTGACAGTGCTGCTGGAATAGCTGGTACTTACACATACTTGTACATAACCAAGATTTTTAGTTCTTGTTTTTGTGTGTAAAGAATCTACACCAGTGCATCTCAACCAAAAATAAAACCTCCATCTTATCCTGAACTGGTGTATGAATGATCTCACCTAGAGTTTTTTAGGCCATCTGTGTAATTGTTTGTGTTTTTTTCATCTCCCATCAGCCCTAAATTACCTGCTGAAATATGTTTAAAAGTGTTTTTATATCCATATTGTATGTTAGAATGTATGTCATCCTCCTTGGTAAAATAGATTAAGAAGCATCCTGTTTCACGTAAAAGGATATTTGAAGAAGAGAATGAAGTTAGTAATTATTTTTGGCCCTTGTTTTTTTTTTCCATCTTTCAAGTTCTCAACACCAAGCAGTAATTCAGCAACCTGTGATAAGAAAACCTATCACTTGCATGCTCAACAAAAGGTTGGTTCTTGTTTGTTATTGCTTTTTTGATTGTTTTTGGTTGTTTCAGGTTTTTTGGTGGGAGGGGGGGGTGTTGGGGTTGTACATCTTTTACACTGATCATGCAGATGATGAACACAAAATAACAATGATCTGGTGAGTTTGGCTTAATGCCAGTATTGCAGTGATGTACACAAAATAACATGGATGGTTCTCTAAACAATTAGAGTACAATTTCAAAGATGGCCACCAATAATTTCATACTGATAAACCACTGTGATGTGTTAACTGATTGATTATTGATTGATCTGTACAGTTATGACCTAACAAAATATTAATTCAGTGGCTTTTCACTGATTGCAATATTTTTCCTAAAGATTTTTCTGTCAGTGTAAAAAAAATTCAGGTTTTTATCCTGTTTCTGTTAGGTCAGGTCATGTAATTTATCATTCAGTTAAGCTTTTGTTAAATTAGCATGGATCAGGAGAATTTCAGAAATAACTGCAGCATATTATATATTGTCTTAGTAGCAAGGGCTGCATTTTTATCTCACCTCACTGAAAGTCAGGTGAGTTTTTTTGAGGCTGTTGTTGACAACAAAAAATGGCTGAAGAAATCAATCTTGATGGAGTTGAAACTTGCAGGGGACGGATGACAAAGTAAACACAATTTATGGATAACATGTGCTTCACAATGGTTTATGTTGAAACATAGCTTTTACAGTGAAATAATTCAACTTGAACTGTGTGTTCCCATCAAGAAATCATAGCAGCCATATTGAAAAGCTGGCCATGTTGAAAAGCCATTATTACACTGCCAGTTTCTTTCAAAAAGTGATATAATTTGATATATGTGAGATGACATAATATATTGTTCAAAGCATTTCAGCTGACCTGGGCCCAGTTGCACAAACCAATCTTAGCGCTACGACTATTGTAAGCCTATGTTAAAGAATGGGAGTTACAATCATCTTAGTGATAAGATCGCTTTGTGCAAGTGGGCCCAGGTCTGAATTTTTGTTTGGATGTTTGTTTCAAGGTTCGAAAATTGGAATTTCAATATGGTCGCCAGGTATAAATATAAAGTTCTTATTATCAAAAACTTAAAGGGACAGCGGTCTGAAATTGATGGATGATATGGTAACCTTGTGTGGTACGAAGTTTTTCAAGACATTTGAAATCAAGTATGGCTGCCCGTGGCCATATTGAAAAATACCACATTTATTGAACAGTTTCCATACAAATAGAAGAGGTGCAGTGCAAAGTTTGATTTTGACATGTGTATTTTCTGGGAAAATATGATTTTTTCATGTTTTGAACTTAGAAATATGTTGGAGTAGAGGTAGGGGGTATTAGTGAGCCCTGCTCACTTTTTGCCTTGTAGTTACTTCTTTGATATTTATCAGTTTTGTTTCAGTCCTCATTATTTCTGCAAGAAATACTTGAATGTCAATGCTGACAGCAAGTTTAAGTGGCTTTCTGGACATTTTTAACTGTTGACTAATTCAGGTGAGCTCCAGGTCTTTGGAAATTTGTCATTGTCATACATGATATATTCATTAAAAGAAAAGAAGTGATTGTTTATAGTTGAAAAGTCACACTGGAACATTATTTTTATACATTAAATGAATATCAGCTACAGATGGTTTTTTTAACTGTATTTTATTATAACAGAAGTTTCAACTTAGTGTTTGAAACAGCTCATTTTTAGACCCCTGTTGGAATTCCAGGGCTTAGATCCCCAGTACCCCATGGATATCTAAGAAGTGAGTATTGTCTGATGGGTGGTTACAGTGTTGGACCCTGTTGATGAGTCATGGTATCGGAGTGTAGGGTGTTGTCCAAGCATCAGACGCTGGTCATCCTGGCTGGCCACTGGTGGGGCAGGATGCACTCACCCTGTTGATGAGTCATGGTA